TAAAAAAAAAAAACAATTCTAAGCGCAAAATTTCTAGTAATGTCCTTTCCCAAAGATCCAAAGGAAGTGAGAGAAAATGGGGAACCCCCCTCCAAACAGTTATCACAGCAAGAGTCTCTATTTAAAGCCTTCCCACTGTTCATGTTCTGGTGACAACTCAAGAGTTTGGCCTTCCAAACGTCCCAGTGACAATGGTCACCTGAACAAATAAGAGAGGAAGTACAGACAGCACAAAAGAATGGGTAATTTGTGATGAAGGGAACTGCTGGAGAAGCTAAAATAGTGGCATGGAAAAAAGAGGGGGGGGAGAAAGTGGTGGGTGAGTAGGATAAGGTGAAGGGGTGGGGTGGGTGAGAGGAAAACCTCTTCCCACCCCCAAGAACTAGTTTATTTTAGACGCAATCTGCATCATTGTTAGGGCATTTAAATATTCTGAGGTTTGACAGAGAGAGCATGATCCATTCCTATCTACTAATGTCAAACATTCAAGATCATCGTGTGTGAATGTGTATGAATATACAGCAGCAGTGTGGAAATTTTAAAAAAAACTACTTGTCCAGGGACTAAATCAGTGCCCAAATCTACTTGTCCCTCATGACAATCTACTTGTCCTGCCCCAGCGCGTGATTTTACGTTTGTACGTGCGTGTATATGTGGGGATGGGGGGCTTTGAAAAAAGTTTGGGGGGGTTATATGCTTTGGTGTAACTTTCATTTTTTTTTTTAAATAAAAAAAATTTTTTTTTTTTTGCTTAACCTTTTTTTTTTCTCATCACATAGGGGACTTTTTGGTGACCGGTTCTCTTTTTTGAGACATCCAGGGTCTAAAAGACCATGCATGCCTCCCCTGAATGTAATGCAGTACACATAGCACTGCATTACATTCTTTCCCGGCCTTGATGGGCGGGAATCTGTCAACGGGGACCTGGAAGTGAGGTCACATCACTTCCAGGTTCAGGACAAGAAGGGGAGGGGAGCGGATGTCTCCTCCTTCCCCTATACCCACCCACAACCACTGAACTGGTCCCAGGCTCACAGATGGACAAGCGGAGCTCAGGAGACACAGCGGGGGAGGCGAAAGCTGGCAAGATGGGGGGGGGGGCTGTCAGAAGAGCACTGCTGCTTGCCTGCAGCAGGGCTAAAGGTAGAAAAAAAAGACTATCTGCTCGGCACCAGGGACATATGATTTGAACTTTCCTGTACAGTATCTTTTGAGTATGTTTTTGACTTCCTGGGAGCTCAGTTTAGGGGATTTCCAGGCTCTGGCAGTAGTTTAGTAGCACTGAATATATGGAAAACCAGAACATGAGCTTTTTGGGGGACTTTGGTGGATGCAATAGCAGAGCCTTCTAGGGTTTTTAAGATTGGGCTAGTAGGACTGGATATATTTTTTTAATTCTTCTAGCAGGCCTAAATACAGCCTAAGCAGTGCTTTATAAAAGTTTTCCTAGCAGGAAATGTTTTGAGCTTTTTGGAAATATGAGAACAAGATTCTGTCCATTGCTGCCTTTTTTTTTTTTTTAAAGAGATCCCTATTCCTTTCACCCAGGCTTGGTTCAGTTCAGCCTTGGAGGTTTGTGGTAAAGGGTGAAACTTATTCCTTGGGCTTGCATGTTTTCCCAGCAACTATGTCCAAAGTCTGTCCCAAATCTGAAGGTTAGGGAAAAGCTTCCTATTCAGTATGTGCCTGGACTCCTGTAAGTGTTTCAAGGGAATAATGCTGTTAAAGTAACACCCTTTTTTTTGTATAACTAACATGTCATACTTACCTGCTCCGTGCAATGGTTCTGCACAGAGCAGCCTCGATCCTCTTCTCGGGTCCCCTGCTGGCACTCCTTGCCCCTCCTTGCTGCTGAGTGCCTCCAAAGCGAGCCGCTTGCTTTAGGACACTCGTGTGTGCTCACTCCCAAGCTGCCCTGTGCGTCCATAAGACTCACAGAGCGTGGCTCAGCCCCCCCACTCCCTCCTCACTGGCTGTGGTTGACAGCAACAGGAGGTAATGGCACCCACTGCTTTGTTTTACCCAATGAGAGAGACCCAGGGGAGCCATTGCTCTCGTGCACATTGCTGGATCCAGTTGGGGCTCAGGTAAGTATAAGGTGGGCTGTGGGGGAGCAGCACACAGAAGGTTTTTTACCTTCATGTATAGAATGCATGAAGATAAAAAAACCTTTAGCCTTTTCAACCTCTTTAAGATTAGATTAAAAGTGACATTGACTTCAGTGCAAAATCGCGTCCCATTGACTTCAATGCAAAAATGCCTGTCAGTTGCAATCCTATGTGAACACTTATCTCCTCATGCCACTCAACTCTATCACTTGTGAGTCTGGAACGCACCACTACAAACTTGCACAGGATCCTTTTCATAATGGCACTCAAGACACAATGCATGTGGATTGCACCTGTGTAAACCACCTCAATAGGACCACATAATATCTAGCCTGTCATGCAAATCTGTGAGTTTGAAAACGTATCCAGAATTACATATGTGTGAACCAGGAGGGCTCCATTCACATCTGTGCCTCTTGCAATTGCGATAGAATCGCTGCGATCGCAAAACACAGGTTCAAGTGCCATTATTTTCAATGGCACCTAAAACATGGTGCAGTTTTGCCGTGATTGTTGCACGGCAAATCACATCACATGAAGCTTGTTGCCCCAAAGTTGCCTTAACCCGGGCGGTGACAATCCATGCTATGCTAAATAAAAAATTTAAAAAAAAAACTGGCTCCTAACTTTTTTAGCTGGCTCCTAGATTCAAAGCAAATTTGTCAAGCCCTGCCTTAGTGTTGGAAAGAAATGTTTTGTGACAGACCAGCCTATAGACATAAGTGGAAAGCTGCCAATGGAATGGTGAGTTCTAGAGAAGCTTTCCATTGAAGTAAATGAGGTTTTGGGTGCGTGTGGGGAATGAGGTTCAGATTAGGAAGGTCCCTAAAGCAGAACTAGTAGCAGTCTTGTAGTAAAATGCATATTTCCGGTGCTCATAGCATTTGGCATGACAATGCATGACTGCTCTTAAAGTTCATCCTAATTTCTACTTTTTACTGTCCGCATTGAAATTGATTGAAGTGGAGGCGGGCTTGTACATGTCACATTGTGAATTTGCAGATGACACGTAGATGCATAGAGGTGTGCATTGGCACATATTGCCATTATGGTTTATTGTGGGAACCAGCATCCCTAGGTGACAACCACGGTATATGGGCCAATATTAGTTGAGAAGTTTTGAGCAATGCAGGATTATTTTTTTTATATATATGTGTGTGTGTGTGTGTGTGTGTGTGTGTGTATATATGTGTATGTGTATATTTGTATGTGTGTGTGTGTGTGTGTGTGTGTGTGTGTGTGTGTGTGTGTGTGTGTGTGTGTATATATAAAATGTATTTATTTCAGGTACTTGTATAGTTTTGTCAACTTGCGCAGCTCTTTACATATATATTGTATATTCACATAGGTCCCTGACCCTCAAGGGGTGTACAAACAAAGGTCCGTAACTTAAATTCATACATACACATACTTGGGGCCAATTTAGATAGGATCCAGTTAACCTGCCAGCATGTCTTTGGAGTGTGGGAGGAAACTGGAGGACCCGGAGGAAACCTACGCAGGCACAGGGAGAACATTCAAACTCCAGGCAGGTTGTGCTGTGGCTGGGATTTGAACCAATGACCCTAGTACTGCCAGGTGAAAGTGATAACCATTTAGCCACTGTGCTGCCCTTTTTGTTAATTTGCAAACACAAAAAAGTATTTTTGCTAACATTCATTCAAGACCATGTTGCAAAAATGAAAACACTCCAATGAAAGTCTTAGGAGCAAAGCTAAATTTTAGACTACAATATCCTAATTAACATGAATTCAACTACAGGTTAGTCTAATTCATTAAACAGGTGTCCAGCAGACAGTTGATTATAAAAGGGCGTTCCTTAAGAAAGAAAAACTCTTCCCATTTCATGCTGTCAGCAATGGCACCACATGGAAGAGAAATGTCACAAGGCATGAGAAAGAAAATTAATTTCTTTACACAAGAAAGGTGCAGGCTACAAGATCAGCAAATTATCAGAATACTGTAGCAAAAGTTATACAAACATTTAACATAGATGGAACTGCATCCATCTCACAGAGACGTCCAGGCCATTCACAGTAGTTAACACCTTGACAGGAACGTCTTCTGATGAGAAGGGTTGAAGAAAATCGCTGTGCAAGTTCACTGCAGTTAGCTAAAGAAGTAGAAAGCCAAACTGGGGTGATTGTTTCCCGTGACACATTACGACGTACACTACAGAGGAATGGCATGCATGGATGTTGTCCACAAAGAAGCCTCTCCTAAAGCCCATGCACAAAAAAGCCCTCCTAGAATTTGCAAGGGCCCATGCTGAAAAAGAAGATTACTGGGACTCTGTACTCTGGAGTGATGAGACCAAGGTAAATGTTTTTGGAACTGATGGCTTCAAAACTGTTATGGTGTCGCAAAGGTGAGGAGTACAAAGAAAAATGCATGGTGCCTACAGTGAAACATGGTGGTGGCAGTGTTTTTCTGTGGGGCTGCATGAGTGCTGCTGGTGTCAGAGAGCTGCATTTTATTGGTGGTATCATGAATTAACAGATATACTGTTCTATATTGAAAGAGAAGATGCTACCATCACTTCGTTTCCTTGGTCATCATGCACTTTTCCAACATGACAATGATCCAAAATCTTTAAAAAGAAAATACAATAAAAATGCATGGTGCCTACAGTGAAACATGGTGGTGGCAGTGTTTTTCTGTGGGGCTGCATGAGTGCTGCTGGTGTCAGAGAGCTGCATTTCATTGGTGGTATCATGAATTAACAGATATACTGTTCTATATTGAAAGAGAAGATGCTACCATCACTCTGTTCCCTTGGTCGTCGTGCACTTTTCCAACATGACAAAGATCCAAAATCTTTAAAAAGAAAATACAATAAAAATGCATTTGTTTTTTATTATTGCCAAAAATTTATTTCACATTATCAGCATAATGTTTAACCATCTTTATCTGTGTGATTGCACGCAGGATACTTCTATCTTGGAAGAGTACAACATCAACTGGACACAGAAGCTTGGTGCTGGAATCAGTGGTCCAGTAAGGTATAGCATTCTTTTTATATTCTTCTGAAATGTAGGCATGTTGGCTATTGCTGTAGGATTCTCATTGTAGTCTCGTTTGCAATGGTTTGGTAGAAGAATTGAGTATATGCAAATTTATTTTATATACTTTCACTTTGAGGAAAGAGAGGAAGAAAAATAGAATTTTCTTTTCACAGTTAAATTTGCTATTGCTACATTTATAGAAGTATTTGTATTGCATACTTACATTGTACCAGCTTGGCACAATGTAAATATGCATATCTCATACCTGATGGGCTCTTAGGGAAGCTGAAAATCACTGTAGTAATCAGTGCTATGACAGTGATAGCAGCAATCTTTCTGGGTCTGTGCAAGTGGCTTCCCCTCTGCACACTGACCACAGGGGTTGCTCAGCACTGCTGCCATTTTTGGAATGACTTTTTTTTCAGTGAATAAAAAGGAGGAATGCTGATGTCACGATCCCCAATCTTCACCTTGTCCAATTGGAGAATGCTTTGTAAAAGGGGGGGTTTTTTGAATGACGGCAGTGTTGAGCAACCCCTGTGGTCGGTGTGCAGAGGGGAAGCTGCTCATACAAAACCTGAGCAACACCTGGAAGATTGTGGATATTAGGGCTTGTTTTACACTTGCTTCAAAATGTGGCATTGGAAATGCTTTTTGGAATGCCAGTTAAAGCACCTGTAATTGGATAAAATGGTACGCTTGCAGTTCTATTCACACGTTACGTTTGCTTTGCGTCAAATTGTACCCATGCCACTTTCTTGATGCTTCAAAGCACCTCCATAGAAATCTATGACAAAGTTCCCTAACAGCACCTGCAGCTTTTTAAAGGGCTAGAGGCTACTAGCGAGTGGGGTATCAGAAGAGCTGGGGGTTACTACTGAACAATGGCTCAATCGAGCTGTGGACTACTACTGAGCAATGGATCATCAGAGCTGGGGGTTACTAATGAGCAGGGGATCAGGAAAGCTGGGGGTTACTACTGAGCAGGGGATCTGCTGAACAAGGGTACTTACAAGCTTGGAATCTGCTGAATGAGGGTACCAATGAGCTTGGGATCTGCTGAATAGAGATATTTATGAGCTGGGGATCTGTTGAGTGGGGGCACTACTGGGGCGGGGTTCTACTGGGCCCCTTTAAAACAAGTAGAAAATCAACACATATGCTGGGCATTTGCCAAGCTTCATTAAAGTTTCAAAAAAATGTAATCACCGAGGCATCAAAAACAAATTAAAAAAGCATTTTAAAGTCGAGGCAAGTGTAAATGAACCCTAATTGTAGCCACACAGACTACTACAGTAATTTCCAGCTTCCCCAGGGGCCGATGATGTATGGAATATGTACAGTGGGGATCGAAAGTTTGGGCACCCCAGCTAAAAATTTGTATTAATGTGCATAAAGAAGCCAAGGAAAGATGGAAAAATCTCCAAAAGGCATCAAATTACAGATTAGACATTCTTATAATATGTCAACAAAAGTTAGATATGTCAAAATAACAGAAAACAAAAAAATGGCGTCTGCAAAAGTTTGGGCACCCTGCAGAATTTATAGCATGCACTGCCCCCTTTGCCAAGCTGAGACCTGCCAGTGTCATGGATTGTTCTCAGTCATCGTCTGGGAAGACCAGGTGATGTCAATCTCAAAGGTTTTAAATGCCCAGACCCATCTGACCTTGCCCCAACAATCGGCACCATGGGTTCTTCTAAGCAGTTGTCTAGAAAACTGAAACTGAAAATAGTTGACGCTCACAAAGCTGGAGAAGGCTATAAGAAGATAGCAAAGCGTTTTCAGATGTCAATATCCTCTGTTCGGAATGTAATTAAGAAATGGCAGTCATCAGGAACAGTGGAAGTTAAAGCAAGATCTGGAAGACCAAGAAAAAATATCAGACAGATATCAGCTCACAGGATTGTGAGAAAAACAATTCAAAACCCACGTTTGACTGCACGATCCCTCCAGAAAGATCTGGCCGACACTGGAGTTGTGGTACACTATTCCACTATAAAGAGATACTTGTACAAATATGGTCTTCATGGAAGAGTGATCAGAAGAAAACCTCTTCTACGTCCTCACCACAAAAATCATCGTTTGAACTTTGCAAATGAACATATAGACAAGCCTGATGCATTTTGGAAACAAGTTCTGTGGACCGATGAGGTTAAAATTGAACTTTTTGGCCGGAATGAGCAAAGGTACGTTTGGAGAAGAAGGGGCACAGAATTTAATGAAAAGAACCTCTGTCCAACTGTTAAGCATGGGGTTGGATCAATCATGCTTTGGGGTTGTGTTGCAGCCAGTGGCACAGGGAACATCTCACGAGTAGAAGGAAAAATGGATTCAATAAAATTTCAGCAAATTTTGGATGGTAACTTGATGCCATCTGTGAAAAGGCTGAAGTTAAAGAGAGGATGGCTTCTACAAATGGATAATGATCCTAAACACACCTCGAAATCCACGGGGGATTACATCAAGAGGCGTAAACTGAAGGTTTTGCCATGGCCTTCACAATCTCCTGACCTCAACATAATTGAAAATCTATGGATAGACCTTAAAAGAGCAGTGCGTGACAGACAGCCCAGAAATCTCAAATGACTGAAAGACTTTTGTGAGGAAGAATGGGCAAATATACCTCAAACAAGAATTGAAAGACTCTTGGCTGGCTACAAAAAGCGTTTACAAGCTGTGATACTTGCCAAAGGGGGCAGTACAAGATATTAACTCTGCAGGGTGCCCAAACTTTTGCAGACGCCATTTTTTTGTTTTCTGTTATTTTGAAAGTGTAAATGATGGAAATAAAATCTAATTTTTGTTGACATATTATAAGAATGTCTAATCTGTAATTTGATGCCTTTTGGAGATTTTTCCATCTTTCCTTGGCTTCTTTATGCACATTAATACAAATTTTTAGCTGGGGTGCCCAAACTTTCAATCCCCACTGTATACTTACTTTGTGCCAGGGTGGACTATTCCTGGAATTCTGCTTTTATCCATATAATAAAGCTGCATTATTCAATGACTTATAAAACCTTGTACTCAAGACTTTTTTTTCATGATGCTGTTTGTGGTAAATCTAACGTTAGCACTGTGGAATGCCCTAATGGCAAGGTTAAAGAGTATCTGTAGCCATACATTTTTAGTTCCTAAAAAGATTTATTTAGTAAATAGTTTGCTGCCAGCAGTTCCTTTTTTAGTTTCATTGGTTGTCACCCAGGGATTTCTCCAGTCCTGCCAGGTTCCTATAAATGTAATACAGTATTTCACAGAAGTGAGTACACCCCTCACATTTTTGTAAATATTTTATTCTATCTTTTCTTTTGTTGCCAGCAGTTTAGACATTAATGGCTGTGTGTTGAGTTATTTTGAGGGGACAGCAAATTTACACTGTTATACGAGCTGTACACTCACTACTTTACATTGTAGCAAAGTGTAATTTCTTCAGTGTTGTCACATGAAAAGATAGAATAAAAGATTTGCAAAAATTTGAGTGGTGGACTCACTTCTGGGAGATACTATATGAAAGGGACACTTCCAGGTTAACTGACTTTTCTCTCAATTTTCCTGGGATTGGTAGCTGTATTTAATAAGTATAGTCAGTATCTACAAAGTGCTGCAACCTGTAATAAGACCTTTCATCATGAACTTTGATCATTTTTACTAAATTACTATGGTAAAGTGATATCTGATTAAGCTGTACACCATAGCTCTTTTTTTTTTTTTTTTTTACTTTGTGAAATAATTATTCTGAAAAGGTCAGATAATGCAAACTGGCAACTATTTTATTTATTTATTTTTATTAACTGAGTTTTCAGTTGTGTTTCAGTGGGTGCCTTGAGAAGGATAGTTTTCCTTTGCACAGCTGGTCCTTATAAGTAATTACATTTAAGATAAATGTCTTTTTACTTACATTTTTGCTCAAAGGAAAAAAGATAGGTGTAGGGCTTGTTACATAGTAACTATCTTAGTTTTAATTTTAGCTTTGAATATCCCTTTCTTTTAGGAGTGCTATGGTTTTAGCTACATTTAATTTCCTAAATGGCTGATATTTCCTTTCTGCTTTATTTTTGCTTGTGAAATACTTTAAATGTTTATGACAGTAGACATGAATGTTATTATATTTAAAAATTTGCATGTCCTTTTGTTTATAGTCTTCAGTTACACACACTGACACAGTAATGTAGCCTTCATCTATTTATACCATGGCACAGAAATGCTTCCTTTTGAGGGCCTGTCCTGTCGTCTGATGTTGCCATTTCTGCCTTGGCCAACAATAACCTTTCTGATGCATAATGGCCATGCTTTCCCTGCTGTTGTTTCATAACTATACACCCATAATAAAATGCAAAACCCTTCTTCCTATAAGAAGCTTATTAGGATTTGTACATATGGTGCTCATAAGGTCAATGAAAACTATGATATAAATGTTTTTTTGTAACCTCTGTAAGATACAATTTAAAAGTATAACCATTTATATCCAAGAACAAAAAAGTCATATACTGCAGCTCACCAGTCCTTGACTGCCATATTTTTTTTTTTTTTCAGGCTTCTTTTGCCTTTCATGTCAGTTCGTGATCTGGCCAGTAACATACTTTCTTTCCCAGAGTGCCAACGCTCACTCATTGTACTCTCTCCATGAAGGAGAAATATTGCCTCCCTATGTTTCCTTTTCCTGATTTGGGCTACAGAAACACCTCTTCATCTCCATAACATAGGGAAAGACCTATTTTGGTCAGATAAGCAGGACTGATAACACTGCTTGATATTTCAGTGCAGCAGAGTATACAGAAACCTATGAGCTCACTGGGTTTCTGGTAGAATCAATAGGCACTTTTTTGTAAATATTGATCAGCTATCACAATGCTTTCAATAAACATGTTAACCACTTGACCTCTGGAAAATTTACCTCCCTTCCTGACCAGGCCATTTTTTGCCTAACGACCCTGCATTACTTTACAATTGCATGGTCATGCAGCACTGTACATTAATGTCATTTGTTTCCCACAAATAGAGCTTTATTATGGTGGTATTTTATCGCCTCTGCATTTTTTACTTTTTGTATTGTAAGCAAAAATAAATATTTTTTTATTTTCTGCTATAAAACGTATCCAATAAAAAAAATTTTAAAAATCTAATTTCCTCATAAATTTAGGCCAAAATGTATTCTACATATTATTTTTGGTTAAAAAAAATACCAATAAGCGTATATTGATTAGTTTGCGCAAATGTTATAGCGTCTTCAAACTATGGGACATATACTGGAATATGTTTTAATGTGTTTTTTTTTTTTCTAATACTCTTAATGGTGGGAATCAGTGCCTTATAGCGGAACTGAGATTTTGCAGCAGACATTTTTACACTGACACTTTCTGGGAACCAGTGACACTAATATTGTGATCAGTGCTAAAAATATGCACTGACATTGTACAAATGACACTGGCTGGGAAGGGGTTAAACATCTAGGGTGATCAAAGGGTTAACTGGATCAACTTTAACTATAAATGTTAGTATCCAGTTATCTTATATGTATCTATAATATAAGATAACTGGGATGAATGAAAAAAAAAAAAAAAAGTGTTTGTACCCAGCTTGAAGTGGTTCTAAAAGCTGAAGGTTCTTTACCTTCATGCATTCTATGCATGAAGGTAAAACACCTTCTGTGTGCAGTAGCCCCCCCCCCCCCAATTCTTACCTGAGCCCCCCTTGATCCAGCGGTTTTCCACGAGAGCCTCTGCTCCCTGGGGACTCTCACTCCTGATTGGCTGATCCAGCAGCGGGAGCCATTGGCTCCTGCTGCTGTCAGTCACAGCCAGTGAGCCCAATCAAGAGAGGGGGGGGTGGAGCCAAGACATGGCTTTGTGTGTGACTGGACATGCGGAGCCATGGCTCGAGAACGCGCCTGCTTGGGTGCCCCAGAGCAAGCTGCTTGCTCTGGAGGCCCTCAGCTGGAGGGACGGGCCCAAGAAGAGGAGGATTGGGGCTGCTTACCAGTTGCCGACCACAGATAGCTGAATGACGGCTACACTGCGGCCGGTCAGTTCTGGGAGGGCATCTTATGACGTCCTCCCAGAACGTGCTCGGGGGCGCGCACCCGGCGATCTCCGTGATCGCTGTGTCCTACGGACACAGCTGATCACGTGATGTAGTAAAAGACCAATCAAACCAGCTTTTTACCACATGATCAGCCGTGTCCAATGACACGCTGATCACAGGTAAATGCAATGCCGGTTCTCTGCTGCACTTTCCTCACGCTGTCAGAACGTGGGGAAAGTCCTGCCGAGAACCGGCATTTGTCAGAGTAGGGATCTGCATCGATCATCAGGATACTGATGATCAGTGCCCTGATGATCGGTGCCCAGCAGTGCCACCCACCTGTGCCACCCATCTGTGCCACCCATCAGTGCCACCCACCTGTGCCACCCATCAGTGCCACCAGTCAGTGCCCAGCAGTTGTGCGTCAGTGCCACCAGTGAGTGCCCAGTAGTGCCACCTATCAGTGCTGACTATCAGTACCCACCACCAGTGCCGCCTATCAGTTCCACCTATCCGTGCCACCTCATTAGTGCTGTCCATCAGTGCTGCCTATCAGTGCCCATTAGTGCAGCCTCATCAATGCACATCAGTGAAGGAAAAAAATTACCTGTTTGCAAAATTTTATAATAGAAACAAAGAAACCTTTTTTTTTTTTTCAAATTTTTTGCTCTTTTTTTTTGTTTATAGCACAAAAAGTAAAACACCCAGCGGTAAGTAAATACCACCAAAAGAAAGCTCTATTTATGAGAAAAAAAAAAATAATAAAAATTTCATATGGGTGCAATGTTGCATGACCACGCAATTGTCATTCAAAGTGCGACAGCACTGAAAGCTGAAAATTGGCCTTGTAAGGAAGGTGGTATAAGTGCCCGGTAGGCAAGTGGTTAAACATCCTGTGCTTGAAAATGCAGTTGTAAAAACTTTTTTGGCTTGGTTATATGCTTACCGGATGGATGGCTATGCATTACTTATAGCAAGCTTAGCCATTGCACTTAATATATATACTACGGAAAAAAAAACCATAAAGCTACATTTTCAGGTGATCGGGTCTATGTGATTTTAAATCACCTGGCTCTGTATGGTTTTTGGTGTCATTTTAATGGATTGCCTAAAATAATGTAAACTCAACATTTAGGCCAGGTATTCACAGATTCTGGGTTATAGGCTTGTACCTTCAGGTAATTGGATGCTGGCTAAGCTATCAAGGGCATGCCCACCCTATGACTCTACCCCTCACTCTGCCAGTCCTCATTTTGTTCCCAGTGGCCCAAGGTGATGGACCTCTTCTCCCTTGCAAAGAAATCGCTAATATCTTAAAAGATATGTAATATTTGTATGTATATTTCTGATATGTGCTTGTTGTATCATGTACTTGTATGACAAAGTCTCCTGTTCTCTTGCTTCCTTTGTGTGAAATCCCTGGTGTTCCTTCGAGTCCCTCTGCTTTCCTATTAATACTGACCACTCTAGGCATGAGAGCACAGCACGGTCAGTTCTCTACCTGTGCTTGGGAACTCAACCTGCTCTCCTCCTATGATCAGGCTTGTGCTCATGAACCCCACCCGTGCACAGCTATTCATTGGGAAAGTCAGTGTTCTGCTTTTTCTCCAACCCCAGATCTCTGTTCTCCGCTTCATAAGGAGCTTAGAAGGTATGTGGTCACTTATAAAACAGGGAAAAGGGTATTTATAATGGTTTTATATCTATTCAGAAATGTTTTGCCTTTCATTTCTATTTTTAACTGAATAAGTTGTAGAGGCGCGCCAATATATTGGGGGCTAAAAGGTATTGGCTGAAAACAGATACAGAAAAAGGTGCCGATAATGGCCGCTGAAAGCGATTTTACCCATGATTTGCTGCGATTTTACCACATTTAGGGTGTGTTTTTCATAGGTCATGAAAAACCGCATCAAAACACAACACGTGTGCATTTTTGATGGATTTTCAATTCATTTCAGGCCTGGTTCACAACAATGCAGTTTGTGTTTTGTCCATTTTGCAGTTTTTTTGCATTCATGTTTTTAAAGCGTTTTTTTTTTTTTTTTTTTTTCCCAACTTGCTGCTGGGCAGATTAAAAACGTAAAACGCATCAAAAATGCAGCAACATGTGAAAACTTGTCAAAAATGCACTACATGCATTTTCTGCAGCATCTCCATTGAAGTCTATTGAACCAAAAAAACAAAATTTTGTATTTAAAAAAGTCCCTGACCATTTCCAAAAACACAGCTGTTCAAAAAAGCATATATGTGAATGTGTCCCATAGGAAACCATGCTAAATGGACTGTAGTGCCTTTCTGTAAGAAACCCTAAAAAAAAAACACATTAGTGTGAACCAGGTCTCAGTGGGGAGGTGTGTTTTTGGTGCTTTTTTTTTAACTCGCCAAATATGCACCAAAAATGTGGCAAGCAGGATTTTTAACAATGCAAGGGAAGCACAACGGACCAGTGTGCAGACATACATTGAAATTAAAGAGATGCATTTTTCTTGAGCGCTTCTTCTGCTTTTTTTTTGTCGCCTAACCAGAAAAAGGAAGGTTCTCTCAGACATTTCTTAAACGTTTATTTTCATGCCTATTAAATTTTAAAATAAATATGCATGTAGTTATCAGTATAAGTTATTTTAAATAGACAGCAATTCTATTTTAGATTTAATCTAATTTCATTGTTTTAGGGTATGTGTCAAAAAGTCAACTCAAGAGCGGTTTGCACTGAAGATTCTCATAGATCGTCCAAAAGCCAGAAATGAGGTGAGCTCCTTGTCCTTGTGAATAAATACTTTTCAATATTTGTTCTATTTCTACAAAAAATGCACTTCTAAGCAGGTCTGCACATTGTTTTGCCTATGTTGTTGAAGGATTCCAGTTGAAACAAAAAAAAAATCAAACAATTTAAAAAAAAAAAAAAAAAACGATGAGAGGCACCTTTGACGTCCACCACCGACACTGCATACTTGGGGGGGAAGCAGCACTTGCAGTATGTCTACAGTGCATCCAGAAAGTATTTACAGCACTTAACTTTTGCCACATTTTGTTATGTTACAGCCTTATTCCAAAATGGATTAAATTCATTTTTTTCCTAAACATTCTACAAACAATACCCTATAATGACAACATTAAAGAAGTTAGTTTTGAAATCTTTGCAATTTATTAAAAATGAAAAAAAAACACATGTAAATAAGTATTCACAGCCTTTGCTCAATACTTTGTTGAAGCACCTTTAGCACCAATTACAGCCTCAAGTCGTTTTGAGTATGATGCTACAAGCTTGGCACACCTATTTTTGGGCAATTTCTTCCATTCTTCTTTCCCTACCTCTCAAGCTCTATCAGGTTGGATAGGGAGCGTCGGTGCTCAGCCATTTTCAGATCTCTCCAGAGATGTTCAGTCGGGTTCAAGTCTGGGATCTGGCTGGGCTACTCCAGGACATTCACATAGTTGACATGACGCTTGGCATTCAGGCCAAAGAGTTCAATCTTTGTTTTATCAGACCAGAGAGTTTTGTTTCTAATGGTCTGATAGTCCCTCAGGTGCCTTTTTGCAAATGGCACACAGACTGCCATTTGTCTTTTACTGAGGAGTGGCTTCCGGCTAGCTGCTGTACCATACATGTCTGATTGGTGAAGTGCTGCAGTTCTGGAAGGTTCTCCTCTCTCCACAGAGAAACGCTGGAGCTCTTTCAGAGTGACCATCGGGTGCTTGGTTACCTCCCTGGCTAAGGCTCGATCGCTCATTTTGCGATTCCTGGTGGTTCCAAACTTCTTCCATTTACAGATTATGGAGGCCACTGTGCTCATTGGGACCTTCAATGCTGCAGAAATTTTTATGTACCCTTTCCCCATATCTGTTTCTTCATACAATCCTGTCTCGGGTCTATGGACAATTCCTTGGACTTCATGGCTTGGTTTGTGCTCTGACATGCACTGTTAACTGTGGGACTTTATATAGACAGGTTTATGCCTTTCCTAATCATGTCCAGTCAACTGAATTTCCCACAGGTGGACTCCAATCAAGTTGTGGAAATATCTCAAGGATGATCAGTGGGAACAGGATGCACCAGAGCTCAATTTTGAGTATCATGGCAAAGGCTGGGAATACTTATGTACATGTGGTTTTTTTTTCGTTTTGTTTTTTTTTAATAAATTGCAAAGATTTCAAAATGAACTTCTTTTACGTTGTCATTATGGGGTATTGTTTGTAAAATGTTGAGGAAAAAAATGAATTTTAACCATTTTGGAATAAGGCTGTTACATAACAAAATGTGGCAAAAGTTAAGGCGCTGTGAATACTTTTTGGATGCACTGTATAACTGTGCCATGGGCACCCTATAAATAGTCATTTATTAACCTCCCTGGTGGTATGATTATTTCAGATTTTTGGTGCTGAAAGCGGTACCATTATTTTGCATGGAAATATGTAGTTTTTTATTGTAGGTCTGTAATTTTTAGGAATAACTCGCTGAAATCTGCACGAACAAGAGTCCAGTAAACATTCCGGATATGATAAAACTTGAAACACAAAATCATAAATTATAATTTAATAAATAATCATAAAAATAATATAATTTAATTCAATAATATAATCAAACCAAAAACACTGAAATTTGAAATATAGCGCCAAGTTCGCACATCGCTGAGCAAAGTCGCAGAATCGTTTTAATTGTCTGACGAATTTCCCCACAAATCATTATCACTCAATTCTGCAAGTGGTTCTGATTTACTTTTTCTGATGTTCTCTAGCTGGTCTAAAACTGATTTTGACCTAAAGGGACGCTTTTTGGACTCCATGGACTTTTCCCAGTTTCCAGGCAGAAAGAACAGTCATGCAGGCAGGGCACAGGACAAAGCAGTAGGGACAAAATGTATGTGAAATGGTTTGAAACAGCAATGTTTTGCTATGTAATAATTGTTTACAAAAAAATGCCATTTTTTTTAAAACTTTAAAATTTGCCGCCGGTTCCGGCCCCCGTACGTCTCGACATCCCAGGGACCGGAACACGGAAGCCGGATGCCGGCATCGGCCGGAGGAGATGGCCGGGGACGCTGCAGGGGACACAGCGTGGGAGCGAAGGACAAGATAAGCGCTGCAGGGAATCCCTGAGCAACGCCGCATGGTAAGCCCGAGTGTAGCTCGAAGTTACCGCTTGTGGTACTGAAACTTTACCCCGAGCTACACTCGGGAATACCGCTAAGGAGGTTAAAGACACTGCATGCAGACACCTTTACACTCAATTACTTGCAGGATTACAATTGCAGTCAATATTATACATGTTTACCGCCAGGGAGGTTAATGAACATGTTTTGACGAAGGACTGGAGTTCACCTCGGCTAGAAATCCGGATCAGAATGGTTCTGAACGTTTAAATTCAATTGGTGGTTCTGGAAAATGTTTGGAAAGACACATTCATACACTAGGCCCCTATTATATTTATGTAACGGAGGGATTTATTTTTCTCTGCATTTACTTTGGGTTTTTTTTGTTATGAGTGTGTAAACCTTTTAATAAAAGCTTCCTGTAAAGTCCATGCATGGGGTGTTGGGTCTCAAGTCAGTAACTGTCTTTAATTACCTGACAAAGACACTTCTCATTTAACAAAACTACCCTTTTAAAGTGGTGTACGTAAAGAAAACACATCTTGCTATAATTGTAGGTAACCCGTAATAAATAATGCACATTGGATTAGTGGACATAGCTTGGCAAATGGCTGAGCTGAAAACTTTACCTGTTTATAGACCTCTTTATTTATTAGTGTATTTGTATTTTTCCAATACTTTTTTTTTTCCCTATTGTAGCATTCGTTCTTCTGTTTTTACAGGTGATGTTAAAGTAAAAACTGATAATGCCCTTTAGGTGCCCCTTCTTAGGTGAATAAATCTAGGTCAGAGAGGAATAACTAATTTAGTAGGATTTAAGTGTACTTGAGAAGATGTAATCCGTGGTTGTGAAAAGTGTTCTTTATTTTCTTAGCTGTGAAAAACTGGCATAGTTGCCCTCAAAATATGATTTTAGCACACACACTAGATTGCTTCAAAGAGAGGTAGATACTTCTGAAAAAAGGTAATAAGTGAGTTTATTATTATTATTAGAATACATGATTTATATAGTGCCAACCGTTTTCTCTGCGCTTTACAGTATAAAGGGAGACACTACAGCAACGATACAGTTCAATACAAGAGCGTTAGGAGGGCCCTGCTCCTTGGAGCTTACAATCTCTACATATTTTATATAAAAAAATAATAAATGGTAGAGAAGTAGGTGGTGTTCTGTAGTTCTAACACACTGTCTTCCCGGGTTGACAATGCTGTACCTCCCTAGACAGAGTACAGTGAGTGAGCATTGTCACCTTAAGCCGGGAAGTGTTACTGTCAGGATCACCAGGTAAAATATGAAGGTAAAAAAGCCTGAAAATGGAACACCAGTGCAGCTAAGACTTGCTAAGCTGCGGTATATAATATTTTTTGCTGTGTTTCGATACCATTTAAAATGTATGTAAAGCTAAACTGGAAAGATTTAGAACTCCTGTCTGGTTTTTAAACCACTAATCAGGATTTCATTAGAGAGATTTTCCCTTCCTTTCTGTCCTAGTGACAACAGTTTTATCAAGCAGGAGGTGAAGGAAAACCTGAAAATCTGCAAGATGTGCGCAGACAAAAAAAATTGACAGAGTTTCTAGTCTTCTTTGTCTGTGCTGGTGTTGGAGAGTTCCTCTCACTTCTTTTCTGTTACAACCTTGTCAGCAGTACAGGATTTAGAAAAACATTGTAATGGATCCTTGAATGGCAGTAAAAATGATGGATTCAAATTCTTTCCTAAAGTTTCCAAAACGAGGACTAAAAGCACTTGTGTAGCCCAGTCCTGAAATAAACTCTAATTTTCTTTCTTCTGAAGAAGATAAAGTAACACTAATAACGTCTGGTATTCAAGAGGCCAGGATAATTATTGAAGAGAAAATGGTGATTATCCATAGGATGAAAGCCCAAATGCTGGCTATGATCATCGGGTGCACAAGAATGGATTTAGCTGGGTGCCACATGTGGATATACAATTGTATTTTACAAGTGTGTAAAGTTGTAATCTGCAGTGTTTCTGTTAGCCAAAAGCAACTGAAAATCAAATTAGTTTGCACAGAAATATGACAAAGTTGAGAATACTGGCTAACAAACATGGTTTAATCCTACCTTATAGGGTGAGAGGCACTTCCCATCATTTACTATTATGCATGTTACTTCTTTCGCAAGTGATTTCTTTTGTACAAAAAGCTGTAAATTTACTCCAGGGCATTGTCTTGCTGTGCCAATTATCTCATCTATTGTACTTTTCTTTTTGTTTACACACAAAGGAGTTGATATCCTTGGTACAATGGTAAACAGCTAAGCCATAATTAACACTGCTAATTGTATTTGATGCGGATAGTATACAATTGTACTGTGCATAAATATTGTTGAAATAAGCATACAGTTTTTTACAATTGAACACACAACCCCAACATAAAAAATCTGAAGAGCTCACAATTTAAAGGTTGATACCTGGCACAGTCACAATCTTTGCTTATGACTGTAGATCTTTTAGATATCTGTAACCTATATTGCTGGCAGTATGCCAGGTTAGAGTACATCACCAGTTTCCACAGTTATCCCAATGGGGTTTTGTGTCAAGAGCTTTCCAAACAAATGTCTTCAAAAAATGTTCCTATAACACCTTCTTGCCTGATAATCACTCGGTGGTTTTCCTTAAGTTTGCCATTTGTTTTTTACATAGATATATCCTTACCATGTACGTTTACTTTTTGTTTCTTTTCTCTTGAAGGTACGGTTACATATGCTGTGTGCAGCACATCCAAACATTGTACAAATCATCGATGTTTATGCGAATAGTGTGCAGTTTCCCCACGAATCTAGTCCAAGGTAGGACCAGACAGTTCTGCTCAACTTACGGTTTCTTTTCAACCAAAGCAATTTTTTTATATGCTGCTTTCTTTTTCATTATATTTACTTTTATTCTTTTGCAGAAGGGTGAACACCAATAATTTGTCCTGTAGCTGTATGTAAGATTCCTCTAGTAGGATAACCTGGTTTAAAAGTATTTTTCTATGCGCATTACTTTGTTGCCATAAAGTAATTTCTTTTCCAGTTTGTCTTGTTTCAATTACTTCTCTAATACAATTCTAAATTCCTTTTGCTGGACAGGTCTCTACTATTTTATTAATCATTCTTTTATGCTAGCTATACGTTCAGATACAGTATTGATCTGAGTGTTTAATTTATTGTTCCAGCCAGTTGGCATAAATGCATTATTACAAAATACAGGCTTTTTTTCAACTGTTACATGTTAAAGTTTATTTCCTGCTTACACATAACTAGTCTTAAAACTGCCCCCCCCCCCTCCTAAAACCTATGTCAACTAATCTATGTAGGAACGATTTATATTCTTGCCTATTGTAAGGCCACTTTGACCTGGTCATGTGATCTCTTGTGTCAGCCATTGCCGGCTGGAGGGGAGGGGAGAGGAGAGAGTGCTCTAATAATGGCTAGTAGAGCCGTGATGTCATCCATAGTCTTCAATGGCCCATCCATTGTTGGTGCTCCCTCCTCTCTCCTGAAGCCACACTGGCTGACTAAGGAGAGCTGGATAATGTGATCAGATCAGAGGGAGCCTGAAAATATACATCTCTTACACTGGATAGTTAGCGTAGGTGTTATTAGGATGGTGGAGACAGTTTTAAGGTAAAGTATGTGTCAGCAGTAATTTTACTTTACATCTTTTATTAAAGATTTCATGATTTTAATGTGCCTTGTGTAAACAAGCCCCTAAGAAGTATAAATTCTGGTAAACTACTTTTCTTTCCAAATCATTAAAAATAAATACCTAACATTGAATGCCAGCCAAATTTTTCTTCATATTTAAAAAAAAAATATGGGGAATTATTATTATTATTATACAGGATTTATATAGCGCCAATAGTTTGCTCAGTGCTGTACATTATAATGGGAGACAGTACACGAGACAGTACAGTAACAATATGATTCAATACATGAGGGGTTCGAGGGCCCTGCTTCTTGGAGCTTACAATCTTGGAGGGAGGGGATAGTGGTACAGGAGGAAATAGCTGTGGGGGATGGAGTGGTAGAAAGAGTGGAGGAGTTCAGTAATCAGCTGAGGGCGGGGTAGGCTTCCCTGAAGAGATAGGTTTTCAAAGTGCGCCTAAAGGTGAGGAGAGTAGGTGACAGTCTGATGGATTGGGGTAAGGAGTTCCAGAGGATGGGGGAAGCCCTGGAGAAGTCCTGGAGGCAGGCATGGGAGGAGGAGACCAGGGAACTAGAGAGTAGGAGGTCTTGTGAGGAGCGGTGAGTACGTTTTGGGTGGTATTTGGATACCAGATCGGTGATGTAGTTTGGGGCAGTATTATGAACAGCTTTATACGTCAATGGTAGCATTTTGAATTTTATCCGTTGGGTAATCGGAAGCCAGTGGAGGGATTGGCAGAGGGGGGTGGCAGATACGGAGCGGTTAGTAAGGTGGATGAGTCTGGCCGCAGCATTCAAGATAGACTGAAGCGGGATAGTCTGCGGTAAGGTAAGCCGATGAGGAGGGAGTTACAGTAGTCAAGTCATGAAATAATAAGGGAGTGAATGAGTTTTCTAGTGGTTTCCGGGGTTAGGAACGGACGTATTTTGGAGATGTTGCGGAGGTGAAGTCTACATGAGTTTGTCAGCGATTGGACCTGGGGCTGGAAGGACAGATTGGAGTCTAGGATGACACCTAGTACTCTGGCTTGAGGGGTGGGACTGATGGTGGTGTTGTTGGTCTTGATGGAGAAGTCGGGAGGGGCACGGGCTGGGGGGAAAACTAGGAGCTCTGTTTTGGAAAGATTTAGTTTGAGGAAGTGGAATGACATCCAATCCGATATGTCGCTCAGTAGGCTTGTGATACGGGCGGAGACTGAAGGGGTGGGGTGAGGGGGGTAGAGAGATAGATTTACATGCATCGGCATAGAGATGGTAGTTGAAGGCGTGAGAGTGTATCAATTGGCCAAGGGAGGAGGTGTAGATGGAGAAGAGAAGGGGCCTGAGGACAGAACCTTGAGGGACCCCAACAGAGGGGGAGTGAAGAGGAGGTGGCAGCGTTATAGGTAACACTGAAGGAGCGCGTGATAGATAGGAAGAGAGCCAGGAGAGGGCGGAGTCTCTGAGGCCAAGAGTGTAGTTTTTTGAGGAGGAGGGGGTGGTCAACCGTGTTGAAAGCCGCAGAGAGGTCGAGGAGTAGGAGCACTGAATAGTGGCCATTAGCTTTGGCAGTTAGCAGGTCGTTGGTGAGTTTGAGTAGGGCAGTTTTGGTGGAGTGTAGGGGACGGAAGCCAGACTGTAGGGGATCAAGGAGGTTGTTGTCGGTGAGGTGGGAACTCAGGCGATTATAGACTAAGCGCTCAAGGAGTTTGGATGTAAATGGCAGCAGGGAGATGGGTCTAAGTTTGTTCAGGTCGGTGGGATCCAGGGAGGGTTTTTTAAGTATGGGAGTGATGTGCGCGTGCTTTAGAGTGGAGCGGGAATGTGCCAGAAGAGAGGGAAAGATTATAGATGTGAGTGAATGAGCGTAGGATGGAGGAAGAGGGTGATCGTAGGAGCTGTGAGGGGACAGCCAAGGGGGCAGGTGGTGAGGTGGGATTCAGAGAAGACCTTAGTGACCTCTTCAGTGGTAGCGAGGTTTAAAGGAGTGTTGAGGGGGTTTTGGTGTGAGGAATGCTACGTGGGGTGGGAGTCTGTGCAGTGGCGAGGTCGAAGGAGTGGAGCGTTGAGGGGGTTTTAGTGTGAGGGATGCCAGGTGGGGTGGAAGTCTGAGCATTGGCGATGTCCCTACGAATTGCGTCAATCTTGTTTTTGAAGTGGTTAGCAATCTCGTGGGCGGTGAATGAGGTACTGGGTGGAAGTGGGGGCAGAGAGAGTAGAAAGTTAAAAGTAGAGAAGAGCCATTGAGGACTGGAGGAGAAGGTATTAATGAGGATAACAAAGTAGGCGTGCTTGGCAGCGTGAAGGGATGAAGTGTAGGTTAGGAAGGCATATTTATATCGGGTGAAGGCTTGTTGGGATCCGGTTTTGCGCCATAGTCGCTCCAGCGCACGACTGCGTCGTTTGAGATATTTGGTATGGTCAGTCTGCCAGGGTTGTAGCGGTGGGGGTCTAATGCTTCCTGTTGTTGGGGGTGCTAGCGAGTCTAGGGCGGCTGATAGCGAGTTGTTATAAACAGTAGTGGCCAGGGCAGGACAGGGGAAGGATGCTGTCGTAAAGTTGGTCAGCTGCAGAGTGGAAAGGGGCAGGGTTCAAGTTGCGGAGGTTTCTGCTGGTGATAGTTTGACGTTTGGAGGGATAGGTTTTTGAGGACGAGGAGACAGAGAAGGTAATGAGGTTGTGATCAGAAAGAGGAAAGGGGGTGTTTGTGAGGTTGTGGGGAGTGCAGAGATGGGAGAAGACAAGGTCCAGGGTGTTCCTGTCAGAGTGGGTGGTGGACTGTATACACTGTACGAGTGCAAAAGAAGAGTTTAAGTGGAGGAGTTGTAATGTAGCCAGGTTGTTGATGTTGATAGGGATGTTGAAGTCTCCAAGGATGATGGTGGGTAGCTCGGAGGAGAGAAAGAAGGGTAGCCAGGTGGAGAAGTCGTCGAGAAAGCGGGTCACGGGTCCAGGAGGCCGATGGATTACTGCAATCCTCAGAGAGATTGGAGAGAATAGCCGGATGCAGTAGGCCTCTAATGAGGAGAAGGATAGAGAGGGAGGGTTTGGGAGGACTTGGAAGGTGCTCTGCGGTGACAAGAGCATACCAACCCCACCACCTTTTTGACTGCTGGGTCTGGGTGAGTGGGTCCAGATGAGACCTCCATAGGAGAGTGCTGCAGGGGAGGTAGAGTCAGTGGCTTGGATCCAGGTTTCGGTGATCACTAGGAGGTTAAGGGAGCGGGAGACAGAGGTCGTGGATGGCGGTGAGTTTGTTGCAAACCGATCGGGCGTTCAAGCGTGCACATGAAAACGGGAAGGTGGTTTTGGGGAGCAGAGGGACAGGTATTAGATTGAGGGGGTTGCGGCAGTTCGTGGAAGTAAGAGGGTGCCTTGTGTGTGGGCGTGGTGGAGGAGGACCAGGGTTCGGGGAGATGTCCCCAGCGGTTAGGAGAAGGGTGAGAAAGGTGGCATGGGAGCGGAATGTACAAGAGCGCGTATGTCTACCAGTGATGGCGTTCGGGGTCAGTGGGAGAGTGGAGTATCAAGAGGAGGTGGTGAGAGCCGTAGTAGGGAGATGGAAGCAGTGAAGGTGCGATGTACAGTTGTTTGGGAGGAGCAGAGGGATATAGAGAAGAGATTTTGGGAACGGAGGAGAGGAGTATGAGGAGGAGGAGGAGTAAAGGAGGCATTTTAAGAAGGTAAACGGAGTGGCGGACAAGTGTGGTGGAAAAGTTCTCAGGATGCTTGATTGATTGTAGATGGTCTAGCGATGGGATTTAGAAAAGGTTGTGAGGGGTGGGCATGATTATAAGGTCTCTCGGGTATTGTTGTGTTTGTCTCCTTTTGGGTGGATTTTCTTCACTTCTTTAGTATTACTTAAACAGTAATTGTCCACAGTGGAACCGTTCAAATCAGTGGGACTCTGGAGTCGCACTGATTTTGAACATAGTTTCTGAGTTACTTTTTGTGATTTCAGGTGCAACATGCATAGACCTCTGTGCATGAAGTCGCACAGATGTCTTCCAAGTTGCATCTGAAGTCTCACTAACATGCAACTTTGAAATCGCGTGACTTCAAGTGAAGTCGCACAGTTTCAAAGTCCTGTCCCATGTGAACCAGGGCTTAAATAGAATCGGGAAGGGCTACAATCCAGCAGTCTCTTGGACAGGAATTAAGCAGAAATCTTCACAAAGGGGTCATGGACAGACAGGTTCAAATCCATTCTCGTGATGTCTAAATCTACTGGCATATTTGGCTAGAAATATAAACTGTTGTAGTAAATATTGTCGAGTTTGTTTTCTAAATAGTGACAATATGGAAGAAGCGTTTACTTCCTGTAGTTTGTGAAAGCTCTGCTCATACAGTAATGGAGGTGGCCATTTTGGCAAGATAATACAGATTATCACTTCACAGACAGCATGTGGTATTACTAGGCCATGTACTTGTGTAATTGGTTCCTGATAATTCTGCAACAGTTGTAATACATGCACATGTACCTCATTAAATGTATGGCACCAAAACGCTGTAATCAAATAGTTTGCCTGACCATTGTCAAAACATTTTTACTGGCTCCCTAATGTCCTTTTCTGCAGTTGCTATTTTATTATACAACTTTTATGAATGGCTACCTCCTGCATTTTGTAGCTTTCCAAATTTACCAGGCTTACTAAATTTAGTGGCACCCTGCTTCATACAAATTGTATTAAATAAAGGTAGTATATGATACAGTGGCAGGAGGATTGATTTTAACACTGCTGGAAGAGAAGTGCCAGTGCTGTCAATCTGGGGCACAACCTTCACCAAAACCAAACTGCATTCTATCAAGGCAGCAAATGGGGAACCCAAGCAAGGTTGCGCCTTCCGTTGACCAGCATCAGCATTGACTGCATACTCACTGATAATTGACACACTCTTTAAATTAACACTTTTGAACAGGGCACGGCTCCTTATTGTTATGGAGATGATGGAGGGGGGCGAGCTGTTTCACAGAATCAGCCAGCACCGGCACTTCACTGAGAAGCAAGCCAGCCAAGTAACAAAGCAGGCAAGTTCCAGAATTTCCACCAGCAGGCTTGCAATGAACAATAAGGGTTTAAAGCATATTAGAGGGACCTAGGTTCTCACTTATCTTATTGCCTGCTTTGTTATAATAACATGCTATGTACCCTACCATTTGGCAGAATGTTTTGTTTCAGCCACACTGAGTACTCTCCTACTTGGCTTCATAGTAATGCATACTCTGCTTTATGGGCCTGTGGTGGACTGCAAGCCTGGCCTGTGTTAGGTCCAGTGTACATTTCCAACATTGTATAAATGTATCCATTGCTTTTTGTATATGTATCCATTGATTGGTGTATAAATAAATATAAAAATAATTTAATGGAAAGCCCAGCCATTTGATTCTTTCTTTTTTTAATGCAGATGTACAAGATTATATTTAATGGGTCTCCACATTGTTTATTAAAAGCTTCTCCAGGGAGCCTTATTACTTGTCAGTGGCTACATTGGCCATGTAGCTATGGGATACTGCCATCTACTACTTTGGTGTTTTCAATTGTTTGTGGAGCCTTGAGAATATATGGGACAATTTACATCTCCATAAAGTGTGTTAAAGGGAATCTATAGTTCTTTGTTGATTTTTTTTTTTTTTTTTTTTTTATTGTTTTAAATACAAATTATTGTGGTTAACTAAATCCAAAGTCTTAGTATTGTATGCTGTGGTTTTAAACATATTGCTTCTACTGTATGTATTGTTTCTAATTATCATTCTCATGTACACGTATATTTGTTCAATATTTATACAGGTTTTGCTGCATAATAATGCTGCAAAATGATCCTACCCAAGTCAGCATTCGTATCTAACCAATGCCAGCAGTTGTTCAGTACAATGCTGAATAGACTGCTTGATTTTCAGATGTTAAAGTGGAACTGGTAGTCAGATCTGACCGTGTATGTTTATACAGAGACTAACAACCAAATAAATCTTTTATCTGTATGTAGTTTACTGAGCTAAATTCCTTCCCCCTTCTATAATGACTTCTCCATGTGCATTCAGCATGATGAAGGTTGCTTGTTTCGGAATCGTTTCTTCAGGTGAAATCCTACCATAGCCATATGCAGTGCATTAAGTAGTGATCCGCCTCTACAGATGGACTGCTCTTTTGCATCCTGCCTTTGTGAAATTGCAGAATGTGTGACATGGAACTGAGTATAGGTTTCCGGCAAAAAGAACTCTGAATGTTACTCTGCACTCCTTAATGGGGCAACTCAAATTGACCAAAACCAGAGCCAGTGGGGCATATGTGCAGCCATAAGGTACAATTTGCAATTCTTTTAGGAATTACTGAAGTATAAGTATCAGCATTTCAGTAAATTTAGGCATACCCTTCCACTTTATCATTATTATCTTAAATGTATATTTGCTGAAAATGTAAATTTTCTTCTAATTGAATGGAGTGCGGTCAATCTAGTATATATTTAATAACATAGATATTGACACAACTCTTCTTGCCATGTAAGATAAAACTGTAGAGGAGAAGTACTCCTTGTGCTGACTTGTGTTTTTTTTTTACAGATTGCTTTGGCTCTACAGCATTGTCACTCATTAAACATTGCACACAGAGATCTGAAACCAGAGAATTTGCTCTTTAAGGATAACTCCTTGGTAAGACTGTTATAATCCTTTTTGTGCAGTAGGCGGTTTTCTCACACTAATTACAGCACTAGATTACATTTAAGTACTATGTGTTTACAAATACAGGCTCTGCATCTACTCATGAACTCCTGCTCCAACAGGCAGCCTGCTTTCTAATGCTCTAATATTTTTGGTAAAATTTCTATACTTACCACGTTAAGCATCAAACTAATCACTGTACATTGCATCTATGTCCTTTCACAATTGTTTGTTTCAGGAAGCTCCAGTCAAACTGTGTGATTTTGGGTTTGCAAAAATAGACCAAGGAGACCTAATGACACCACAGTTTACCCCTTACTACGTAGCTCCTCAGGTAATTTTCTAAACAAATATAGAAGCGTGGAACATAAGAAATAAGCGTACCAATTACAATGGGAATATTAGAATCAAACTAGTCAGTCTTTTATCATAAGTATAATGGCTTGCCTATGAAAGATTTTTATTGTCTTCTTCGTTACTTTAATGTTTTCAGAGGATGAATTTCAGCACCAATTTCAACACCTTTATGGAATTGACAAAAAATAGCTAATTGCTGTTACTGACTGACCTTGCATTTTTTTATTTTTATTTATTCAGTTGTGCAAGGTTGTAAATTTCATCAATCTTTCAAATGTTATTTGTCTTAAAAGTGGACCCGAACTCAAATAGCTATGATATAGGAAACAATCTGGAATTGTAAATTGCTACTGCTTGAATTCCTACTGAAAATTAGTAGCGCACCTCCTGGTGTGTAAATGGCCACAGCCACATAGCTGTATATCTGTAGTGTGAGATCTAAGGCACTATGGCCTCTGACTGCTCATGTCAGGAGATTTTTCGGTGTGATTCACAGATGTCACTACTTTACTTCCTTGTGAAAGTCTCCAGAAAGGAGAACACCAGGCAGAAAAGTCCTGCTGCTTCCAAAATGGCCACCTCCACACAGATGCACAGCACAGAAAAAAAGGGTTGGTAGGTCAGCAATGGGGAAAAGATCAGCAGCAGGGAGACTGCAGGCAACACTGGTGACTAGCCCTTTGTTTTTTACCTTCCTTTTTTTTTTTTTTCGGGCTCTGTTTTCAGATATCAGTAACTTTTTAATAATAATATAAAAAAAATCCCAGTTGATTGCTCATGAGATTATTTGTTTGTGCATATTATTCACAAAATCTATTGATTTTGATGGATATCTGATCAGAATTGATCACCCATTTATGTTGATGGTCAAACTTGAAATGATCCATCTAAACCATTCAATTCATTGATCGTTGTATGCATGGCCTGTTTTAAAGCCTCGTTCACACCATACATGCCGAAAAACTGATGAGAAAAATTAGCAGATTTCACCTGCAGAGACATGAGTTTACATCAGTTTTCATGCAGATTTTAGTGCATTTTATACACATTGCAGATTCCTACGCAGAAAAAAATGCGCATATGATATTAGTGTTGTGGTGTAAACAGGGCACATAGAGAACAATTGTTTTCTTTGTGCCCATGTAGAATGCGTGCAGAAAAACTCACATCCCTGCACATGATGTGAACGAGGCCTAAAGGTGAGAGGTCACCTAAAGTTTGTTGCTCTGCCAACTGTCTGACCTCATTCTGGCTCTTGTGTGTACATAATAGGATCAAATAACAGCACTGTAGTAAAAAGGAATGTAAAAATCAGAGCTGCGTGTTTGTTGCTATTATTATACAGGATTTATATAGCGCCAACAGTTTGCGCAGCGCTTTACAATATAAGGGAGACAGTACAATTACAATACTTTCAGTACAGAAGGAATGTGAGGGCCCTGCTCGTGGAGCTTACAATCTAAACTATTACTTGGGAGCAACACATTTTATTAGCATGAATTCAAGCATTTGACCAGGAAGCAGCTTTCAGACCTCAAGGAGTGCCTGACCCTTACAGTATCTCACAGAAGTGAGTCCACCCCTCACATTTTTGTAAATATTTTATTATATCTTTTCATATGACAACACTAAAGAAATGACACAATGTAAAGTAGTGAGTGTACAGCTTGTATAACAGTGTAAATTTGCTGTCCCCTCAAAATAACTCAACACACAGCCATTAATGTCTAAACCACTGGCAACAAAAGTGAGTACACCCCTAAGTGAAAATGTCCAAATTGGGCCCAATTAGCCATTTTCCCTCCCCGATGTCATGTGACTCGTTAGTGTTACAAGGTCTCAGGTGTGAATGGGGAGCAGGTGTGTTAAATTTGGTGTTATTGCTCTCACTCGCTTATACTGGTCACTGGAAGTTCACCATGGTACCTCATGGCAAAGAACTCTGAGGATCTGAAAAAAAGAATTGCTCTACATAAAGATGGCCTAGGCTATAGGAAGATTGTCAAGACCCTGAAACTGAGCTGTAGCACAGTGGCCAAGACCATACAGCAGTTAACAGGCGGGTTCCACTTAGAACAGGCCTCACCATGGACGACCAAAGAAGTTGAGTGCACGTGCTCAGCGTCAAATCCAAAGGTTTTCTTTGGGAAATAGACATATGAGTGCTGCCAGCATTGCTGCAGAGGTTGAAGGGGTGGGGGTCAGCCTGTCAGAGCTCAGACCATACGCCGCACATTGCATCAAATTGGTCTTCATGGCTGTCGTCCCAGAAGGAAGCCTCTTCTGAAGGTGATGCACAAGAAAGCCGTGAACAGTTTGCGGAAGACAAGCAGACTAAGGACATGGATTACTGGAACCATGTCCTGTGGTCTGATGAGACCAAGATCAACTTATTTGGCTCAGATGGTGTCACGCGTGTGTGGCGGCAACCAGGTGAGCAGTACAAAGACAAGTGTGTCTTGCCTACAGTCAAACATGGTGGAGCGAGTGTCATGGTCTGGGGCTGCATGAGTGCTCCTGGCACTGGGGAGCGACAGTTCATGGAGGGAACCATGAATGCCAACATGTATTGTGAGATACTGAAGCAGAACATGATCCCCTCCCTTCAGAGACTGGGCTGCAGGGCAGTATTCCAACATAATGACCCCAACACACACCTCCAAGACGACCACTGCCTTGCTTAAGAAACTGAGGGTGAAGGGGATAGACTGGCCAAGCATGTCTCCAGACCTAAACCCTATTGAGCATCTGTGGGGCATCCTCAAACGGAAGGTGGAGGAGCGCAAAGTCTCTAACATCCACCAGCTCTGTAATATCGTTATGGAGGAGTGGAAGAGGACTCCAGTGGCAACCTTTGAAGCTCTGGTGAATGCCATGCCCAAGAGGGTTACGGCAGTGCTGGAAAATAATGGTGGCCACACAAAATATTGACTCTTTGTGGCCAGTATGGACATTTTCACTTAGGGGTGTACTCACTTTTGTTGCCAGCGGTTTAGACATTAATGGCTGTGTTGAGTTATTTTGAGGGGACAGCAAATTTACACTGTTATACAAGCTGCACACTCACTACTTTACATTGCAGCAAAGTGTCATTTCTTCAGTGTTGTCACATGAAAATGTGAGGGGTGTTCTCATTTCTGTGAGATACTGTATCTCTGAGTCAGCCTCAGAAAAACTAAGGATGATGATAATGATACACTAAATGTTTAAATGCTTTCATAATCCTGATAAGAACTGCTGCGATTTGTCTGATTGCTGCCTCCCTCTAGCAAATTTATTGTTTGGTAGGGGATGTTGAGAAATCTATTGACTTTTTTTTTTTTTTTTTTCAAAAAGCATAAACGTTCTCTCAGTTTTTCTTGTCTGGTGGCCTGTTGCTTTTTGAACTAGTTCTGCATATAAAAGCATGATCGTAGGCCTCCAGTATTGCATTTTAGCATTGATTTGATTCTATTTTTGGGCACTAACCTGTTACTAACTTATAGGTGTCCCAAAAGCAGCATGATGTCTAAATACAGCACCTCAGATAGATGCAGTGTTGTCTTAATTAAATAAACAACAGTCCCATTTAATTTCCACTTAGCCTATGTTGACCTGAAATGAGTATAGAGGTATATAAATGCACAGAACTTGTCCCAAAAGCCCCTTACACTGTAATTTTAAGCTGCTATTCAAGTTCAGTGGAGATGGAGAGATGTATTTACTTAATCTAGTATTTATTACATATTGGTAGGTGTGAGAAAAACAAATTTAAATATTATGTGTTAAGAAATCTTACACAAGTAGGATGGAATATAATGAATGCACACTCAGCATATATGGAGAACACATGTAAATCTGTATAATCTGTCATGGTCATTAATCTGTCATGGTATTACACTAGCACAAGCTTTAAAGTGTTACTAAACCCACAATAGTAAAATCAATATGTATATGCAGTAAAGCCTGCTTGTTATACTCACTGTGGAACTTAAGGGGTTAATCCTTTGAATTGTGTAAAAAGGCTGTTTGATCCGGTCTTCTTTGATCCTCCCTTTCTTCTACTGTCCCCAATCTATCTGCTGATAGAACAGAGCCTTGGGGGCAGGCTGTTCGTGCTCAGTTTGGTGTGTAGTGCTAGAGAGTTTTTTTTTTTCTTGGGAGAGTGCATGTGATCAGCACAGGGCCAATCAGCACTGTCCGGACAGGGTCAGGCATTATGCAGTCTCCTAGGACAATGAGAGAATGAAAACTCTTCCTACAAGCTTTAACCAGTGCTCTGCTGGACACTGATAGAAGTCACAAGACTACTCTAACTGCTGATGAGAAAAGGTATTTTTATCAGTTTACATTTACTAAAATAATTGCATTTCCATGTTCTGTGTACTGTGGGAGACCAGATATAGTGAATGCAGGATATTGGGTTTAGTAACACTTTACCCCACCTCATGGAATTAACAATTGATAACATGCTGTGAGTTTGGAGGTGTAGTATGGAAATCTGCGATTTGTAGATTAAATTTTGCAGTAGGCATATTTTAATGTGTTAATAAGAATTGGTATCAGATTGGTTGCTGCATTTTATATGTTGCATATTCTACCTTTCAACTTTCACTTCATCAAATGTATTCAGAAATCTGAGGCCAAGGATAGAAAGACTAGATTTTCAGGCAGGTTAAACTACATGTTTTACTAGAGGAGGGTGGAAATCTCTATGTCAAATATACAAAAAATGGTGTAGCGCTCTTACCAAATGATATACACAAAATAATAATGCACAAGTGATAACAAAATGATTGTAAATTGTGACTGATCCCCTATGGGGTCTCCAAGTGAGAAACAAATACATAACACAGTGAGTAAAATTATAAATCCAATGTCTCTAATTAGACCTGATATAATCCAACTACACACAACAATGTTAAACTCCCCAAATCTCAATTGAGATTAGTGATAAAACAAGACTTGTCAATCAAAAATTACAGTGACGCACACATGTGATCCCAGCACTGGGGGAAAGATATTCCAAATATAATGAAAAAAAGTGCTCGGTGAAAAAGAAACACTCCAAACAACGTGTTGCAAATTCAATTTTCACAATCCCTCACATCAAAAGCATCAAACATAAAAAATGGATATAGGACTATATACATCCCATAAATATTATAATATAAATTGTACTGAAAAAAGTCCAACAAAAATAGTGTAACACCAGTGTTCCACAAAAATTAAAACATGCAGGTGATGCTGTGTGCATTGCAGCCGCTGGTGATAAATCCAAAAATGGCTAAATTGGCTCCTCACCTCCTTGCCATGACCCTAAAAGGGCCAAACAGCTTTTGGGATCACACCTGGACGCTCCAAGCACAAATTCCTCTTTATGGTATCATCCCAAGCAGAAAAACCTCACATCGGATCTGTGCGTTTAGCCTTTTAGGTCAGGATCAGCTCCAAATCCCCTTTGGCTATAATCAATATAGCCAACTCAGTTGTGATGAGATAGCGATAACTTCGACCTCAGTTGGATACCACAGTCAGTAACTCAATGAGAATGACATCTTGTAGATCTTGTGAAGTTTATTCCATAAACTGAGAGAATCTTACAACAATGAAATTCCATAGGTCAAAAGAACATACTGTTTCTTGCTCCATGCCATGAGGCTAGCTGCAATGCATCTCTGGGAACAGTATGTTCTTTTGACCTATGGAATTTCATTGTTGTAAGATTTTAATTTTTAATGGTTTAATTTTTGTGGAACGCTGGTGTTGCACTATTTTCTGTTGGACTTTTTTCAGTACAATTTATATTACATTATATTATTTATGGGATGTATATATTCCTATATCCATTTTTTATGTTTGATGCTTTTGATGTGTGGAATTATTGTGAAAATTGAATTTGCAACACGTTGTTTGGAGTGTTTCTGTTTTCACCGAGCACTTTTTTTTCACTATATTTGGAATATCTTTCCTCCAGTGCTGGGATCACGTGTGTGTCACTGTAATTTTTGATTGACTAGTCATGTTTTATCACTAATCTCAATTGAGATTTGGGGAGTTTAACACTTTGTTGTGTGTAGTTGGATTATATCAGGTCTAATTAGAGACCATGGATTTATAATTTTACTCACTGTGTTATGTATTTGTTTCTCACTTGGAGACCCCATAGGGGATCAGTTACAATTTACAATCATTTTGTTATCACTTGTGCATTATTATTTTGTGTATATCATTTGGTAAGAGCGCTACACCATTTTTTGTATATTTAGCATTGTTCACTTATAGGTAATAAGGTGTGGTTATTAGCCTTTTATTTGATATTAAGCATACATTCATTTTTGAGCGCAGGAGATTCATATTATGATCTCTATGTCAAGCTATAATGCCACAGGGAAGACCCAAAGGAGCAATGACCCTAGCCACTATCCTCCCATGGCATAGAAATCTGTTTTCGTTGGAGTTGCTTCTTAGTGTGTTCACAAGAAGGTTTATTTTACCTCAACAATTAAATTGTATTTAAAGATTAATAATAAATATTTTAAAAGACATATTTGTTTTAGTCAGATAATTATGCAATATTACAAAGTAGTATTTCATATGTATCAATTGGAAAGATTACATTAGATATACTTATCACTTGCTGCAAGCCATTCTTGAGCTCCACACAAGAGCAGCAGCTTTCTGTAAGCTCACACAACAGCTGGTACTCTGCTAGAAGCCTTAAGAGCGGAGAGATCAGATTACACATGCCACATGATGGACACATCTCTTCTAGCAGTGTGAGAATTCTGATCAATGGACCTGCCCATTCTGTATTATGCAGGAAACACGTTTGTTCTTCAGGCAGCACAGGGCTTTAAATGGTAGAATAAGTCCTGTAGTAATTTATTATTGATAAATGCCTTATAGAAAACTTTTTTTTTTTTTTTTTTTTAACACAAAATATACCCCTTACAGAAACATTTTTGTTGCCCATATATAAGGTGTTTACCAATTAAAGACAAAAAAAACTCTATTTTTAAGACTGCACTTCTATTTACTTCTATAATATAACTGGCAGGTTCTAGAGGCACAAAGAAGACACCAGAAAGAGAAGTCGGGGATTATTCCTACCTCACCAACACCATATACATATAATAAGGTAAATGTTTTTGTCGATTATCAAAACGGATCTTTGCTTTGTGGCAGCCATTGAATATTTAGAAATACTTTTTTCCACAAAAACTAGAGTTCCAAAGTTCCACATTATATTCCATTTAGGGATTTTCACCAATGAGAGGGCACGCTTTCTTTATCTGCATTTTTGCTGAGTTACTGCTCAAGAACATCTGGATGAGCCAGCTTTTTTTCTATGTAATGGCTATCCTGCAAAGATTCTACATGAAATGAATGTCGCCCCAGCAGCTTTTATTTTATAGACTGAAATGTTTAAATTGATAACCCATGTGAATTCAGAAATAGAAATGTAAATAGAATAATTGTTTTCCAGCAATTCTGTAATCACAATTTTGTTTACATCAAGTTGCTCAAATTAACAGATATTGCTAGAAAAATCTTGTAAAATTCACTAACGTATTAGCTTGTGAAGAAATGTGTATATTTTTTCACATTTGTCACAATATGAAAGCAAGCAACAGGGAACACTTAAAATGTTCTTTGTGATGTAGAGGAAATGTTGCATGTTTTCCCTCCTTGTGTTATTGTAGGAAAAACATGTTATCAGACCCCCAACACTTGTATGCACTTTGAGCATACAGGGATCTATCACTATTACGTGTTTTTATGTTTACACTGTGGTTGTCTCTGTCTCTCCCAGAGCTGTGACTTATGGTCCTTAGGTGTGATTATCTATGTGATGCTGTGCGGCTACCCTCCCTTTTACTCCAAGCACCACAGCCGGACAATCCCTAAGGATATGAGGAAGAAGATTATGACAGGAAGCTTTGAGTTCCCAGAGGAAGAATGGAGCCAGATCTCAGAAATGGCAAAAGACATTGTCAGAAAGTGAGTTATTGTACTTTCTTGAAATCTGTGTTTGTAATTATAAAGTAAGAGGCTTTTTTTCAGTGTTAATCCGGTGTGCTCTGTAGCTGACCAACAGTAATTAAGCTATTGTTAGACTGGTGTGGAAACTGTAATGTGAACACCATCAAAAAGCAAGATTGCCCATAAAACAAAATCTTATTCATTTTAGAGCTGAAATCACCTTTGTTCTATTATATACCATGTGGTCGAAGGGCCCCAGTAGTTCTAAAAACACTTTGAAGCTTACAACTTAAAAACTAGTGCTTATGTCATGCCTGTATTCCATTGATGACTTCAGCACAGCCTGGCTAAAAAACTACCATTGCAAGAGATCAGCCCCATCCTGCCTAGGATCTAGAACACAGCATAAGTTAAGCACACTCCAGGCATCACAGGAACAAGCACTCTCTATCCAGGCATGAGCAATGCACTTCCACCTCTCAGGAGCCACAGGAGCCAAATCCAGTGCTGCTGCGACAGGGCAAGAGAGAGTGCATTGTGCATGCAAGGGCCATGAAAGAGGGAAAATGCTCATTCCTATGATGCTGGGGATTTGCCCAGCATATAGTGCATACCCAATGCTAGGCCTGACAAGGATGGTCGCTTAAAATGGTAGGTTTTTTGGCCTAACTGTGGGGAATTGTGGCCTTACAGGTATGGCATTTAAATAAGGCACCAGTTTTGTAAGCTTTACAGTGTTTTTAAAACTACTGGGGTCCCTTAACATCATGACCAGTCTTAGCAGTGGTTCGGTGCCTGTGTGCAGGCAGTTGGGGAGGCATCTCCTTCTGTGAGTGCAGCTGCTCTTGAACTTTGCCTTGCTATTGTACTGTTAATGTGTGGATGCTCATTCCCTGCCTGTCATTTCCTCTTTCTGCCCACTGAGGAGAACATTTTTAAATTGGTGTCTTTAGGCTGTCAGTGCAAATCATACCTGGGAAAGAGTTACCTTTCCTCTATTTTTATGCTGTGCACCGTTCTGTGCTGTGGTTGGACAAACTAATTAAATGGCATGGCAGTGCACTGTGTGACCAATCAACCATGTGCATTGTGGTAAAAAGCATTACCACAACACTTGTTTATAAAGCTGGCTTTAAACAATTTCTGTATTGGTGCGTTTTCACACTTATGTGTTGCAGGAGCATGTTAAAGTGTATATTTGACCATGTATTGCTGCAACATTCTGAATGGCACCACAATGCATGTACATATCGCACTACAACTCACCTGTGTCTTTTTATGCACCACAGCACTCAAAATGTAAACCATCTGTGTGTTGTGTTGTCCTGCTTTAAAAAAATTATGCAGGTCCATTTTCTTCAAACATCGAGGTACAGATGCTATTGTGAGACCCGTTGGGTTGAGGGTCACATTTGACATTTGCAAAGTTTCCCAACACTGCACTAGGAAATGTGTGAAAGGACACACAAGCTCCCACTTCATTCAGAAATAGGATTATTTTTTGGCAAGATTCTGTTTAAGACTCTTGCACATATAAAATGATGCTAAAAGGTGGTTATTGTGTTTTCTTCTGGTGTAGCAGGATTAATAAAACTAAGGGGCTGTCACAGGATCTCCTCAAGAAAGACTAACCGTGCCTGCCCTTTCTCCCAGCTTTCCTGTTCATAGAAGCCATACTATCACTTCTATGAAGGGAGGAGGTGGACCTATCAATTTTCGACCCGCTTTTGATTCATAGATCACATTTCATTCATAGACACTGTGGTATTTCTTCTATAAAAGGCAGAGCTGGGTGACAGTGCTGACATAGTTGGTCTTGATGAGAGCCTGTTACAGCCCCATGTTGGCTTATTAACCCTGCCGGGGTGGGACATGGATGGAGGCGGACCTAAACTAAAAGAAGAGATAACAGCACAAGGAAAACACATCTTACTGACTCTTAAGTTATGTTCCTTGTGCTGATGTTTCTGTCTTTTATTTTTGGCTGCACTTAGGCTTTAAGTGCTTAAGAACAGAGGATAATATGTAATGTTGTCTGCAGGCTGTTGAAGGTTAAGCCTGAGGAACGACTCACCATTGAAGGTGTTCTGGACCACCCTTGGCTAAACTCCACAGAGGCACTGGATAATATTTTGCCATCTGCACAGATGATGATGGATAAGGTTGTATATGGATTCTATGCTCTGCCTTAATCTTAAATTGTTAGGAAATGTTAACTTTCCATGGTGTACACAGATGACATTACAAATGGATGAAACTGATATTTATCAGTAAAACAACATTGTAAGAAACATTAATTGTAAATGTGGTACCGAGATTTCTGTGGGTGTTGGTACAAGTGTCTACCAAAAAACAAACTGAAATTAAATTTAGTGTTTTATAATCAGGTAAAATTGAGGGTTCAGGTTACACTTCAGACAAAGGCTCTCAATGGGAAAATCTGTCTTGCCTACGTTCCAGGTGAAGATAGCAGAAATGCATATTCAGGAGTATGCCGTTTACATTAAGCCATTACGGTGTGTTTTCTCTGTCAGCACATTATCACATTAAAGAGTCTTCTGTTGCGTTCACTTCAGAGGATGCGCTGCCTTAAGAAAGTTGCACAGGAACTAATTAGACTGTGTGTCATTTTCCATTGCAGGCAATGGTTGCCGGGATACAGCAAGCCCATGCAGAGCAGCTTGCCAACATGAGAATACAAGACCTCAAAGTCAACTTGAAACCATTAAACATTGTCAATAATCCCATCCTGCGCAAGAGAAAGCTGTTGGGGTAAATGTTATGAGTAAACATAGCTACCCATCTCTATCAATATGCTGGAGTGATCTGGAAAGAAACTTCCTCAGCATGTCCCTTCATTTTCTTATCTTATTTGAGATGTAAAGCTGAGGAAAGGTGAGGGTTAGATGGGGGTGCGTGGAGCCGTCCCTGCCAGGAGAACACAATGATTATTGCTAGCGGCTATAATCATTGTGTATAATTGACAGTCACAGCGGACATATGATCGCAAATATGCATCAGGAGCTTTCCAGTACCTGTCAGGAGCTGTGCTGGGAGCGTGCAGGGCACATGCTCTCAGCACAGATAGTGTTTTCATAGGGGCACATATATGCAGCCTTTCGGTGTTAAAGCCCACCCTACAAGAGGCCACATACTGTATATGCATACGGCCAGCGGGAACAGGTTAACTGATATAGATATACAAAAGCTCTTAACTAAGACTTTCCTAAAGGTGCAATTTTAATGACAATTATTTGGTGGTGTTCTTCGTTAGCCAAGTAATTTTGTAAGGGATAATATATCAAAATGTAAAACCTTCCTCCTTATCATTGGGACTAAAGGAAAACAGTGGTGGATACTCATCGTAGACCCTACAGATCACTTTTTGGGGGTTGGGCAAAAGTGCCATTTTTAATTGTGACACATCTCTGAACCAAAATCCAACAAAATCTGCAAAGCATAATGACTTTTTTTTTTCTTTTTGGCATGTTGTTTTTATTTACAGGACAAAACCCAAGGAAAATGTTTATATTCAAGATGCAGAGAATGGAAGTGAAGATTCCAATATTGCTTTGGAAAAACTGCGGGATGTGATTGCACAATGTATTCTACCACAAGAAGGTAAATTATCATGCATTTATTTAAAGCAATTAGTGGGCCTAAATGGTGTGCCAAACCAACATTTAGCATGTAATATCAGGCACCCGTAGGTATCAGGTCTCCTTTTGCATGCCATTCTGTAGAAAACTGAGAATGATTGACTGTTTTGGTTTAAAAGATTGCTTTTTGTAAATGTATTACATTCTGCTAGCCTAACATTTTATCTATTCTTAAAGCCCAACTCCAGTTCATTAGATTAAAGGTATCTAGGTGTAAAATAGTTTAATTTCGTATCGGAATGTATAAAAAAGCCCACAGAACACAATAGTGACAGAACAGCAGGCAGGAGTAATGATCGCAACCAGCAGGTGACACATTATTCAACACATCCAGAAGTGTTGGATGACAGCAGCACCTGTAGCTCTTCAAGAGATTAATTATTTTATTCTGCATCCTTTGGAAAGTTTAAGTTGGCCATAGACCGAAATTCGTCCGGTTCTGCAAGGACTGGCTGAATTTTGATCAGTGTGTGGCTGTCCTTGCTTGACAGAAGTCAACGGTTTCATCAAAGGAGAATGTTTGAAAAACTTCAATCAGTGGCAGGCCTGTGGCTAGCTTTATTATAAAACTTTTTGTTTTACAGGCCACTAATGATTTTATTTTTTTAACATAGCAACAGGGCCTCCTAAAAGCATAAAACCCATTTTGCAGTGTCAGGAGACCTCAATTCAGTACTCTGTACTCTTCAACTTCTATAGAGATTCAGCTTCAATATAAACTCACCGGCCACTTTATTAGGTACTCCTGTTCAATTGCTTGGTAAAACAAATTGCGAATCAGCCAATTACATGGCAGCAACTCAATGCATTTAGGCATGTAGACGTGGTGAAGATGACTTGCTGAAGTTCAAACAGAGCATCAGAATGGGGAAGAAAGGGGATTTGAGACTTTGAATGTGGCATTGTTATTGGTGCCAGACGGGCTGGTCTGAGTGTTTCAAAAACTGCTGATCTACTGGGATTTTCACACACAACCATTCCTAGAGTTTACAGAGAATGTTCTGAAAAAGAGAGAAAATATCCAGTGAGCAGCAGTTGTGTGGGTGAAAATGCCTTGTTGATGTCAGAGGAGATTGGGCAGACTGGTTGCAACATTCAGATGGTAGGGTCAGAATTTGGCATAAACAATATGAAAGCAAGGATCCATCCTGCCTTGTATCAATGGTTCAGGCTGGTGGTGGGGGTGTAATTGTGTGTGGAATATTTTCTTGGCACCAGCAAGGTGTACCTAATAAAGTGGCCGGTGAGTGGATGTGTAGTGCCACAACTCACCAGATATGATGACCTCAAGTTATAAAAATAGGTCAAATGAGCATATAACTCTGTGCTTCTATCATAAAAGGTCACCACCATCACCAGGTAATCCAAACACACACTCACCAAACAAATCTTCCGTGAAGGTTAATCCTCCTGATGACATGATTATAAAACAGAGAAACACTCCAATAGTGCAGTAACATTATTTTATTTAAAATACTTTTTAAAGCATAAAAATCCTATAAAGACCAGCAGGAAAATGTAATAAACCACCATCACCTGAAAACAATTTGGCAGTGTAAGACATCAGCATGCAAAGCTCTTCCCAACAAGTTTCGTCCATGCACATTTGAAAAGAATACAGAGGCACAGATCCAACTCACATCCCACTCTATACCCACTTACTAGTTGCATATATTTTGGTGTTTCATAAGTGGATTTTCTAATTGTGCCTTTTGTATCATATGCAAAACCAGCAGACCTTATCACATTGCAGGGCCCATATCATTATGTATACTTGTCAGTCACAGAGGAATTAATAAATATAATGGCTCTATGGGGAGAAAGTGATATACAACACAAGTGTGTAATTCAATAATGAAGTGCAGGTTGCTTGTTATTAATGTCCTATGACAAATTTGCAGGAAATACTATGAAATATAACTGCTCCGACTCCAAAAAAATATTGTACAAATAAGTGTTAAAATAATGTCCCTCTTCAGTCAACTCCTCATTACCTTGTACTATAACAATGGAAGCAGTGCATCCAGATCAGTGTAACCTTATGAGCCGTACCTAGTATTACCTTATGAGCCGTACCTAGACCTCATGTTGTGGGGACGACCTGTAATGTTGCTTTGGGCACTGGATCCTGCTTGGGTGCTCACCTTGACACTGAGTGCAACGAGTGTAGTTAGCCAGAAGGTACTATACAGGTTCAGAGCCTTGGTGTTTTCCTATGCTTCCCAGGCCCTGAAAACCCCTCCAGGGGTATGCCCACTGTGACAGCTGAAGCCTGGACCCATACAGAGAGATCAGCGACATGTAAAGGTAAGACAGGTTCGTCCTGTTAACAGACTGACATTGTAGCTTTACAGCAAGTATGCAAATCAATATCTCTACTACTTGCAGTACACTTAAATACTGCTCAAAAAAATTAAAGGAACACTGTGAAAACACATGAGATCTCAATGGGGAAAAAATATCATGCTAGATATCTATGCTGATATGGACTGGGCAATGTGTTAGGAACGTAAGAATGCCCCATTGTTTGATGGAAATGAAAATTATCAACCTACAGACGACTGAATTCAAAGACAACCCGAAAATGAAAAAATTATGCAGCAGGGTAGTCCATTTTGCTGAAATTTAATTGCAGCAACTCAGAATGGTACTCAGTAGTTTTTATGGCCCCCACGTGCTTGTGTGCATGTCTGACAATGTCGGGGCATGCTCCTAATGAGACGATGGATGGTGTCCTGGGGTATTTCCTCCCAGATCTGGACCAGTGCATCACTGAGCTCCTGGACAGTCTGAGGTGCAACCTGGTGTCGTCAGATGGACCAAAACATGATATCACAGAGGTGTTCTATTGGATTTAGGTCAGGCGAGCATGGGGGCCATTCAGTGGTATCAATTCCTTCATCCTTCAGGAACTGCCTGCATACTCATGAGGCCGGACATTGTCATGCACCAGGAGGAACCCAGGACCCACTGCACCAGTGTAGGGTCTGACAATGGGTCCAAGGATTTCATCCCGATACCTAATGGCAGTCAGGGAGCCATTGTGTAGCCTGTAGAGGTCTGTGCATCGCTCCATTGATATGCCTCCCCAGACCATCACTGATCTACCACCAAAACGGTCATTCTGAACGATGTTACAGGCAGCATAACGTTCTCCATGACTTTCCCCAGACCCTTTCACGTCTCCCACATTTGCTCAGGGTGAACCTGCTTTCATCTGTGAAAAGCACAGGGCCCTAGTGTCGGACCTGCCAATTCTAGTGTTCAATGGCAAATGCCAATTGAGCTCTATGGTGCTGGGCAGTGAGCACAGGGAGCACAGAGCTCAGGCCACCCTCATGAAGTCTGTTTCTGATTGTTTGATCAGACACATTCACACCAGTGGCCTGCTGGAGGTCATTTTGTAGGACTCTGGGAGTGCTCATCCTGCTCCTCCTTGCACAAAGGAGTAGATACCCAGCTCTCCTAGAGTAACTGCCTGTCCATGCTCTTGAGACTGTACTGGGAGACACCGCAAACTTTCTGGCAATGGCACGTATTGATGTGCCATCCTGGAGGAGTTGGACCTCCTGTGCAACCTCTGTATGGTCCTGGAATCTCCTCGTTCTACCAGTAGTGCCACTGACCCTAGCCTAATGCAAAACTAGTCAAAAACAGTCAAAAAAGAGGAGTAGGGGAAAAAATGTGAGTGGCTTCCACCTGTAAAACCATTCCTGTTTTGGGGGTCATCTCATTGCTGCCCATCTAGTGCACCTGTTGTTAATTTCATTACACCAAAGAAGCTGAAACTGATTAACAACCCCCTCTACTACTTAACTGACCAAATCAATATCCCAGGAGTTTAATTGACTTGATGCTATTCTCTGATTAAAAAGTGTGCCTTTAATTGTTTTTGAGAAGTGTATAAGTGTTCCCTGAATAGTATTCATTTTTACGTAGATCTGCCTAGAAGCTGGGAATGTGTTTCAGTTTATGCGCTTTTTGGATATTTAAACCTAGCTTCGCGCAAAATGCTTGCCAATGTACAAATGCTCACTTTTGCTTTGCACAAAAGCATAATCAGAGTTACATTTGATTCTCTTCTATTTTCCATGCCCTTGTAAATACTAAGAGACATGCAAAATATAGAAAGGCATCCCTCCCTTGATGAACAAATGGAATGGGTCATTTACGATGATTGGGGTACACCTGAAAAGATTTTCACTCTTCTGAGAATCATTGCCAAGCTATATCCAGTGTAACGAGTTCACAAAAAACATATTAGGACTGCCGTTTAAACAATCATCTTATTGTCCCTTTAGAAGTTGTTTCTTCATTTAAGGATTCTGACACCAAAGATGGGGCACTATATCCCCCCAATAACACCAACAGTAGGGCACTATTCCTCAAACTGACACCAATGATGGGACACTATTCCTCCCACTGACACTAACGATGGGGCGCTATTTCTCCCACTGACACCATTGATGGGGCACTATTTTCCCCCACTGACACTTACAATAGGAGACTATACCTACCACCAGCAGCAACGATGGGGCACTATTGCCCCTCAATAACACCAACAGTAGGGCACTATTCCTCAAACTGACACCAATGACGGGGCACTATTCCTCAAACTGACACCAATGACGGGGCACTATTCCTTCCACTGACACCATTGAAGGGGCACTATTTCCCTCCCACTGACAGTCCAGCCCGCTGAAAATCTGATGGACAGCAAACTGGCCCTATATTTAGAAAGTTTGGAGACTCCTTGACTAGAGCAATGAATAGCCAACGGCATCCTATTTTCTAGGACTCTGTTTCGGTGGAATTCTTACAGACATTGACTTCTGTCCTACATTTTTTTGTGTTGTAACACAAATTTCCAGAATGGCTGTCATTTCTGTCCATATGTAGAGAATCTTATGGCTAAAAGCCTGCACAGTTCATGAAGGCAGTGTCTTTGGTGATGCATTTGACAAGTCCCACAAAGGAGGTCTCTGGAGGAAAGATCCTTCTTCAACAATGGAGGGCTCCAAAACCCAACTCCTTGGCCGCTTCCAGCTACTCTATGTGGAGAGCACTTCTCCGCTCTTTCCAGGCTGCTTCTTTAAAGCCAAAATTGATCCCTTTTAATTTTAAGCAATTGTCTAGCAAGTGGTTAAGCATTCCTCAGCTTTGTGCTTTGTATCTCAAGCATATGTCTGCTCATGTGCTTGTGTGTTGGCAGTTGATTTTCATGCTTTTTGTGTCCACCACCTCCACTGTGAACCACCTGGTTATATTTGTTTGCCTGCCTGTTCTCATTTTGTCAGCCTTTTAAGTACATTTTTGCACACTTTTATGATTTTTATTCTTCAGTGATTATTGTTAATAAAATAACATTGCTAAACTATTCGAATGTTTCTATATTTTATGATTGTTTTGCATATTTTGTTCGCTGTAAGATGTAATGCAGTGAGGTCCTACATTTTGGCGAGTGTGCATATTTGGATTACCTGTTGATGGTGGCGGTAGCAACCTTTCAAGATTGAAGCAATTATATTATATTAAACTAATATTATATTATATTCTATTTTGACCTTTTTTTATAGCTTGAGGTCAGCACATCTGGTGAGTGGTGACACTACATAAATATTGACGCTGGATCTCTTTATAAGTTGAAGATTATTGAAGGGAGGTCTCGCTCCTGGCACTCCAACTGTGTTTTATACTGCTTGAGAAGAATTATATATATCAGTCCTTGTTGCACGCCGCATTATTATTATTATGATGATGATGATGATTATTACAGAGGCTGTTTGCTTATATGAGCATGAACATTTTACATTTTTTCCACTTTTGCAGCCAATATTTTTTTATATGTTCCCGTTAACATAGCATAACTTACAGGATAAGTTCACCTCTTGTAGCATGTTACACCCATTTGCACGGTGTAACATGTAACATGTTACGATCAGACCAGCTTCTGCTCTCCCTGCTTTGACAGCTAGCAGAGGATCTTCTTTCCCCTTTGCTAGTTGTCAAATTAAAAAAAAAAAAAGTGGCTGTGCGGGGCTCCGCCCACACAGCCACGTCACTCATTGACAGGGCTTTGCGAATAAGAGACTACAAGTCCCAACGGCCTTAGCGACTGTCCGCTTGTTGTCCCCAATGAATTACCACAGCGCTGTTAAGCACCGTGGTAGTTCATTCATTCCTCCTGTCAGTATATCTGCTTACTCCTGCATCCCGTACGGGCAAGCAGTTATACTGACAGATCTGCATGAGACCGGCATGGCACCAGAGATCTACTGATCGCTGGTGCAGTGCTTTCCAGGCTCCTACAGACAAAATTAATATATGCACATTTTTTACCTGCAAATGTGAATTTATTATTTTTTTCTAAAAGGTGAATTTATCCTTTTAATAAAAATATTTTAAAATTGCTGTTAAGCTTTTTTTTCAATGCTTTTTTTTTTTCTTGCTTAAAAATTCTTACATGCTCTCCCTGCTTTGCAGTGTTTAGGAGAGGGCTGTGGAGTAATGCTTAACATAATTAAGCACATCTGTATTGTGTTCGCAGTTCATTATCATCTGTACATTAGATTTAAACATTGTCCTAAAACAGGATTAAAAAATGTTAAACTGCCCTCCTGCATTGTTTGTAAATGAAGGATAGCTAAAGCCTAGCCTGTGTGGGGTCAAGACACTCTAAAAGTCACTTTCGGGTCAGTTTTTTTTTCATTCAACATGCTGGTTGAATGGAAAAAAAAAAAACCTGACTCATATGGCCAGCCTTAGACCATCCAAATTCTTAGACTGACCATATATGCATCGTTTTTGTGATCAGCTGGTGGGTGGAGCAATCCACCCTGCTTTGCTGTTGTATTCTGACACCAGGGACTCCTTCGCTGTCAGAATACACTGATCAGCAATCCATTTAATTGGCTGCAGATGCTGATTGAATTAAAATTTTCCACCAGTCCTGTTTTGAGTTGTGTGAGTTGAGTTGGCACAACTGCAGCCCTCTGCTGACACCCCCAAAACCTGCCCAATATAATCCTTTGTTTACGTTTGCTTGTCCCTTTTGGCTTCTTAAGACACATCAGAGCTTGCACACTCATTCTCGGCATCACAGCATGTTTTTTATAGACTTTGCCCCATCAGCATGCTTACTGCTCTTCAGGAGTGCCTTCAGGTTTCTTCAGGGGTGCCTTGATAAAATGCCTAAAAATTGTATACAAGCCATCAGGTGGATCAAGATTGACTTTTAGTTACAAAAAGACACAGGTTTTCATTGTTCACTATTACAACCTTCTAGCCTCCGGCGTCCTAATAGCCAGTGACGTCATTGGTTGATTAGGAGGACATATCTGGTGCCTGCATAGCATCTTTGTTTACCTCTCCCCCGCCCCTCTCCATCAGCACTGGGGTCACATTAGCTGAGAGAGGGAGAGAAACTGAGGAAGAAGAGAAACATTGGAATACTAGTCAGTACCCGTGTGCAAAGGTTTTTTTCCTTTCGAAAAACAAATCTCCTTGAACATTGGGTGTCCTACGTGTTTGGATTCTGTTGTTCTGTAAACTATTAATTTAGGTTTTTTTTACAATGGGGTGCCTCGTCATTGTGCCTCATTTTAAAGGGTGCCTTTACTGAAAAGAGGTTGGGAAACACCAATATGGGGTGTTGACATACTCCTAAAGCTTCTTCTTTCATAGATATTGCTGTAAGAATATTGTGTGACATCACTTGCACATGTGTTTTGTAAACCTACACCCGAAAACACAGTATGAATCCTTAAAAATCTGTACTGAGTATCTTGTAAGCGTGTTTATTTTTTAGATTAAGTTTTATTCCATTTTAAGGACCCGGATGTGCTGTCTGGCATCCCAAAGTCCTGCCAAATCCTGCAGATGCAAACAAAAAAAAAAAAGAGTAAACTGAGAGATTCAATTCTTGTTCTCTTATTACAGGAGAAAATGAAGATGAAAAATTAAATGAAGTTGTACACGAAGCCTGGGAATACAACAGAGACTGTAAATTACTGAGAGATACGTTACAAAGTTTTAGCTGGAATGGTAAATTTAGAGATTTTGTCAGTCAGTTTTATCTTAAAGTGAATCTGATCTGGTCTTAAATGTTTCTAAGGCTGCTCTTTTGAGTTTCTGCACGTACCTTGTTAAACTACCCATAGACTGATTGATTGAATTTCAGTGGGTCTTTCCTGAACTACCCAAATTTTGATCTGTGTGTGGTCATCCCTGTTTCACAGCAGTCAGCTGTTTTGATCGACTTCTGTCAAACAAATAGCAGCAGCAGCCACTCATCAGTATATCCTGACAGCAGAGGGTTTGGGGGGGGATTCCTCTATCCACATCGTTGGTGTGCGGATGGAGGATTTTTTTTTTTTTTTGTTCGGTCTGTTGATCACAGGGGTCACAAATGGCCCCTTAATTCTCCACTCCTGAGCTGGTCTCTGACTTGGCTTTTGTTGAGGATAGGCTGCCTGGGGATGAGGTATCTCTTAGAGCCTGTTTTGTACAGTGACTGGCCTCACCCTGAGAAGCTCTTTGCTCTGCCCAAAATGTTTTGCTTAGCAATATCATATTAAGGAAGGTTTCCTGCAGAAATAGACCCCTACCTTACCTGGGGCCTTGCACTACTGCCTAAACGGCCTGAATGCCTATTCGGACCCTTCTTGGATAGGTACATCAAGGAGATCACGGGGGATAAGAGTACTCTTCTCCCCCATAAAAAGAAGGCCTGTGCTTCAGCCAATAGTACTATTTCTGAGACTAGGAAAAGTCTCTGTCAGGCCTCCAGCTCCAAATCTAAGTCTGAAACACACTTTCATTGGAAGACAAGTCCAACTCCAAGCTCTCAATGATAGGGTGCCCCCACTGGTCAGAGTTGGGGAGATGTCCATTGGGCCCTCTGAACCTAAACATCTGAGAATTCTTGGAATCAAAGTGTCATTTCTGGGGAGTTTCGGTCTATGTTTTTCCTCACTTAATGCCCTCAAATTGACCTCTCTTCCCACAAAGACTGACTAGATCTTCATGATGCCATTCATCAGCTCCTCTCGCAGGGGCTTATTGCCCCAGAACTTGAAATGCTTTCAGGGCTTCTACTCATTGTGGTATTTTTGTGCTGGTGGAAGGCACAGGCACACCATCCAGCCCCTCTGCCAGCACCCTTTATAACTGAGCGGCTGAAAGATGCTGCTGGCTTACTGAGTACTACTTTTTAGGGCAGTATGGGCTTGGGGCTGATTGCCTGGGATGCAGACTGCTTATAGGCTTTCAGTAGTGGGGCTGGATGCCCCAGTACACCTGTGCCTTCAGCCCACACCAAAACGCTGGGATCTCGTGGACCAGGGCCTTTACCAGGCCACGTATACAGCAGAATGATTATTCTGTTTCTTTTAATGGAGTGTTGTTAAAAAGGAGGGGTGATACACCGTGGTAAACATGGCCCTGTCCCAACATTGATGGAATTGGGATTGTATTTTGCCCTGTCCCAACTTTTTTGAGACTTGTTGCTGCTGTCAATTTCAAAATTACTTTGTTTTTCTTAAAATGGTACATTTTCTCAGCTTAAACAGTTGATGTGTTTTCTATTGAGAATAAAATATGGGTTTATGAGATTAGATTTTGTTTTTATGTAGATTTTACACAGTGTCCCAACTTTTTTTTTTTAATTGGGTTTGTAGTTAGGGAAAATGCAAGGGGCGTTCATGTCATACTGGGACTTTTAATTTAACAGGTGTAAAAAGGGATGCTAGCATGGAGGTACTACACTCAGTAGTAAGTGCCAAGTGCTATTACTGATAGGCAGTCAGACACACGTCGCAGGCCCGTTTAATCAAGATGGCAGACAACAGTGTTAGTGCATGCATGGAACAGCGTGTGGTGATGAAGTTTCTTGTGAACAAAAGTGTAAAACATGCGGATATCTGCAAAAGGCTTCAAGCACAGTACAGTGGTAAGATGCTGAACTGCTGCAAGACATTTGAGTGGTGTAAATGTTTCAAAGATGGCTGTAGGCCGTCAGTGAGGATTCTGGCTGTGGTGGTACCCAGCCCACAGCAGTTATTCAGTTAACATTCAGCACGTGGAACACCTGATCCTGGATAATTAATGCATAACCTGTCATGTAATTGAGACAAATATTTCTGTGGGAACGGTGAACACAATGATGAGGAAGTGCAGCAGACTGTCCTAGGATGGTTAAGGCGTACTGATAAATTTTTCTATGCCAAAGATTTCCGGGCATTCGTTAAACACTGGGATAAGTGTATAAATGTAGCAGGGGAGTATATAGAAAAATAAATGCAGTTTCCACTCCTAGAAATGTGTTCTTTTATTATATAAAGCCCCAGTTTTACTTGAACTTCCCTTGTATGTCAACAGTGGCGCTGTTATGGAAGATTCCCAAAAAAACAGTTTACATAGAAGTCATTTGTGGATTTTTGTGCTTATTTGTAGTAAATCAAGATTGATTTCCCTTAAAGGGGATAAATGTCTGACAAATAGGTTTTAATCTTGCAGTAATAACATTTCTTTTCTCTTTCAGGACAAGGATTTACAGACAAAGTTGATCGTCTAAAACTTGCTGAAATTGTAAAGCAGGTTATTGAAGAACGAACAAACTCTCAAGAAGATTCTCAATAGCTGAAGTGTTTTTTTTTTTATTTTATTTTATAGAAGAATACTTGCGTCTTAAATAACTGTAAAATAGTTTTATGTAAATTATATCACTAAATTTCCACACTGCTTGAACATACAGTATAAATGTAGATAGAGGTTTAAAAGAAAAAAAGATCATTGGTACTGTAATTTATTTAGAAAATATGAACTGGTTTAAATATTTTTTCACACTACTGTACTGTTAATAGGTACAAGCCTAGCAGGGATACATAGCTGTTCATGAACTTGTATAACTCTACAAAGTTATGAGCCCTCTAATTTTTTATTTTTTTTGCCCCTAGATAGTCAGCAGGCTACTATGTATACACGCTGCTTGATTTCTAAACTGTCAGAATAATACATTCTGAGCAATATAGTTCAGTCTCGGCTGACGGTCAACATGTTAACATACTTGAAATTAGCTGTATGTTGAATGTAACTGACTTGGTTACACTGGCTGGCGGTATCCTCAGGAATAACTGGATAGAGCACATGCCTTTGAATTGTTCACCAGCTGCTCTGTATAGGTGCCAGTATATTTCAGAAAGGTATAAGACTTTCAATCTGTATCCATGTTCTAGAAATCTCTCGTTTTTTTTTTTTTTCCCCTCTTATATTCATCTTTACCGACCCTAAAACTAAGCATTTTGTTGCTTTGAGCAATTTCTCCACTAGGTGGTGCTCTTGTTTAGCACTGAAAAGACATACCATGTATTTCTGTTCATAACTATTGTTTTTTTATTCTTTGTGGGGTGCTTGTTTTTCTCCTTTTTACTGCACAGTTCTCAGCTTTAATAGTTTTCTTTTTAGATAATCTAGTTTTCTATTTTAACACTTTCCTTTTAATATACAATATGCATATGTTTAGTGTGCCTAAACATGCAGTGGTGAACTGCAGACTAAAGTGCCAATTCTGGGATTCTAGAAACTATGTACGTTTCAGTAACGGCAATGACGTACTAATGTTTGCGTGGCTTGGCTTTCTTTGCCAAAGTGATCTTCCCAGCTCTATCTTGAAAAGCTCTTTCATAGCAGAGAGCTTAGCTGAATGTACATTTGTGTAAACATGAAACTTCCCGCTGTACTGTTCATCTTCTGTGATTGCTCCTAGGTTCAAGATCCTTTGTTTTATTGTGTTTATTTGACCTTTCATTGCGCACTCTCTAGTCTTAGTATTTAAGAGCAAGTGACCCATAACAAGACTTCACTGGCTTTGTACATCAAGGTCATTTACTCACTGTGTAATTATCCATTGAAACAACACCCAAAAAAAGGCCTCAGTGGCAGGGCCTACATTTATGTCAGTACAGGCTTGTTTTAAATAGTGGAAAATATAGTTAAGTATAACTTCCTTTTTTTAGACTTATGGACAGGGGAAATCAGGCTATTTTTTCAAACTGTCAATAAAATAATGGGAGGTTGGCAGCACTGCTTGGGGCCCCCATGGTGGTGGAACTCCAGGGCTCGGTTGCAAGTGCTTCCCCTGTGACCCTGTTGTGTGCTGACAGCATCAAGGGCCACTTCCCATGTGCTGCTAGATCAAAAATGAGTCAGACGGAGTGCTTCTCAGCCATTTAGAGGATACCTTGTATTTTTATGAATGAATGCATTACTTCCCGCTGATTAGCTGTGGTGGAAGTCAGGTAGATGATCTTACCATCTCCATCTTGGCCAGTCAGGGGGAAGCCTTGTTTCCACATGAATAAAATTCAAAGCTTCCTCTGACTGAAAAGCACTCTCGTTTTTCTGCCAGCAGCATGGGGAAAGTCGACTGCGAGGATGCTGGTACACAGTGCAGCATACTGTACAGCAGCCTTTTTCATCCAGTGTGCCCAGGTACCCTGGGGTGCCTCCAGGTATCTTCAGGGGTGCCTTGGCAAAATGCCTAAAAATTGCCCCAAAATTGTATTCAAACCAGTAGCTGGATCAAGCCTGCCTTTTAGTTACACAAAGCCACAGGTTTTTATTGTGCACCATTTCGACCTTCTAGCCGCCAGTGTTGTTACAACCAGTGACGTCATTGGTTGATAAGGTGGATGTTGGGCACCTGCACAGCATCCTTGTTTGCCCCTCCCCTGCTCCTCTCTGTCAACACAGGCCTCACATTAGCTGATTGAGGGAGAGCAACTGAGGGAAAAGAGTAACATTGGAATACTAGTCAGCACCAGTGTGCAAAGGTGTATTTTCTTTGGAAGAATAAATCGCCTCTAACATTGGGTGTCTTGTGTGTGAGGATGTAACTGCATTATGTAAAACGTTTAGTTTCTTTTTTCACATTAGAACAAGGTGCAGAATTTTACAGGGTGCCTTGGTTGAGAAACACTGCTCTACTGTATATAGCTAATGCTACTACAGTACCATAAAGCAGACACAATGGCAGAATCATTTAGTTATAGAAATAGTTTGTTTGGGCCAGTTTGACCCAAAGAAATCATTTAAAATAAAAGGAAACATAGGGCTTGATTTACTAAATGCAAATAGACTGTGCACTTTGCAAGTACAGTTGCTCCAGAGTTTAGTAAATGAAGGGAAATTCTGCTTAATTCCATCATCCAATCATGTGCAAGCAAAAATGCTGTTTATTTATTTTTATTTTTTTGCATGTGATTGGGTATTCTTTGTAAAGTGACGTTTTACCTCATTTAATAAGCTCTAGAACATCTGCACTTACACAGTGCTTAGTCTGTTTGCCTTTACTAAATCAACGCCATGGTCTTCAACTTTAAATAACAAGTATGTGGGGGAAATGCTGTATCTTTACCCTGAATGTCTATTTACTTTATCTCCAGATACTTTCATAGCCACAAATGTCATGTCATAAAGATCCACTTCTACTTTCACTACTCCACTTTGCGTTCAGTTCTTCTAGCGGGAACATTTCATTTATTTTCTAAAAAAGGTTTTAGTTTTATATTCATGATAGTTGAATGTTGGTTGAGATTTCCTTTTCTTGAACTTCATGAAATTCTGTATGTTTGAAGCACTGGCAAGCCTCGCACTGTAGTATAAATGGCCTGTCTGTAATCTCTATATGTTGCAAGGATCCTTTTCTGAATTTTGGTACTGATAATCACAGGTATCTGCTCTATTAGTAAGCAGTGTATATGTTTTACATTGTGATCTCAGACTGTATAGTGTTGATTACACAGTGGGGTTGATTTACTAAAAATGGAAAGTGCAAAACTTGGTGCAGATCTGCATGGAAATCAATCGGCTTTCAGATTTTTTTATTTTTTTTGTCAAAGCGTAATTGAACAAGATGAAATATTCCATATTTCCTTATTTTGCACTCTTCAGTTTTAGTAAAGGAACCCCAATGTGTATGACCTCATCATATCATTTTGTGCATGAGTGATCAGTAAACATCACTGGTACTTTTGTGTAGTAAAATGACTGCTATGGCAATAATCCTAGAAGCAGTTTATGTAAAGGAATAAAAAATAGCCACTTGTCACAAATGCACATCATTCTCTTTTCAGATTTATAACTAGGATGTATGACCATTTTGTGTTTTCTAGTCTTTAGTGTGGTTCTTTCTCTGTTCACATCAGAGAATGTTAAATATTGTGTGTGTGTGTGTTGGTTAGGTGGAAAAGTGCTCCAAATGGAGATGTTAAGGAAATTGCATTTCAGGTTGGCATTAATTATACATCTGAGGCAAGAAATTCCTTGAGTTGTAATGGCTGTTGAGGGATGCTCAAACTGTTAGTGGAGTAAATCTGGGGTTAAAAACATCAGAAGCAATCTTTTACATATCAAGTTTTATTTATCTGTTGGTATTAAAGTGTTGAAGTTCATGGGAGATGTAGTCCAGCAACAGCTGGCTGGCCATGTACATGGCTTGACATGCTGAATCTAAGCCATACTTTTGTATTTATTCCCAAATTTATTCTTAAATCAAGTGTTTGAACTTTTGGAAGTCTGTTTCCACAGTAGAAGAAATACCAGTATTATTTAATACTCCAAAACCATGGGAGTCCTACTAAAGAAAATTACCTTTCCTGGATTGTGCTCAGCATTATTTCACAAGGCCACCCAACAGAGGGAAGTGGTCTATATTCCCTTCTTTTAAATAAAAAACTACAGTGCAAAAGATAAGTGGTCTTTTTCCAATAACGTGAACGCATTTGTTCCCTCAAAGCTTATGGGAAAAAGAGTATAATTTTATGAGTGCATATTTTACCTGAAGTTAATTGGTGGAGAGTTTGGCGTTCCAATTTTTCATGACATTTTTATTTCAGACTAGTATAGTTAACACTCCTGCTGAGCTACTTGCTAAGTTTTTTTTGCATTCATGTTAAGTGAGTCAAGGCTAGCCTTAGACAGGCAGACATCTCTTTGGAGAATCACAAGTTATGTAGTCAGTCCTTTGATCGTTCCACTGTGGGATTCTCCCAAACACAGCCAAAGGGTGAATGTGGCATAAAATCAGTGACAGTCAGGTTCCCATTCTTTGACAGAGGAAAAAAATTGGCAGAGGCGTTTCCCAATTAGTTTACAACAATATGTTGTAAATGTGGAACCCCCTACATTGACTAAGTGTTTCCTAGTAGGTCTGACTGGATCTATCACCTTGCTTACAGAGATCAGGCTTTTGAAATCCTCTTGAAGGTTTGTGACTTATCTAGCACCCTTTGAAAATGATGCTGTGCATTATGCAGAACAGCAGGTATTTCTCCTGCTGACATAATACTTGATACAAAGTTGGAATCTTTCTATGGTTGAAGTCTCAAAAAGTTAAAGCTGGGACATGTAAGTTTTGTTTTGAGGCTGTTTGTGAAGTAGACACTTGTGTAATGCGTTATTGTTTGGTCTTAGTGGTTGTTGAACGTTTACGTCGCATGGTCCTATAGCGAAAGCACTATGCTTATAAGACAAGTCTGATTTATTTTATTGAGTTTGTTTTATTATAAAACTAAATGTGTTTAAACAATCACTTTTACCCTTGAATATAACTTTTATGTATTTGGTTTTACATGGGAGTA